AGTAGTCGAGCGGAGCGCTGCCGCGTCATATAGCTACAACAATATGAAACCTTAATTACAGGTTGAATTAGGTTTTATTTGATCAATCGCAGAGGGCCTCCCCCCATGAGAGGAATCCTAGCGCGTGAATGAGACCAGTGGTCTAATTGTCTAATTTAAAAATCTATCACAAACACTTTGAATTTGACATTAGAAAGATATTCAGGAACTTCACGCTAAAACTATTTGACATGTTTTGATATTTTTTTAAGATATTGAATAAACAATAACGTTTATTTAAGGTTAATCATCATTGTCTAAGCAAACTGATAGTTACACACAGCTGCACGTCACCAAAATATGCAATTTACCTCAATTTCAACTGTCCTCAAAATACCTACAAATATTTTACAGATCCCGATAACCCAAGTGTACCCTTTTTTGCACCATTCATCAAAAATAGTAAATAAAGTCAAAAGTTTCTTCTTACTATATAAAGGAATTTAATCTTCACATTTTGATGCTCACACAATCAAATAAAATTATAACAAATTAGCATATAAAATTGAAATGACAGACTCAGGTTACTACAGACGTTGGTCGAACTCGTGACCTTTCACCGTCTAACTATTTAGAACCCTCGAACCCCCAGGCGACCTTTACCAATTTACCATTCGCCCTGATCTTACTACTGAGTTACCCGAGACCCTAACTAGAGTCTAGCTAATTTTGGATTCTTAGTGCCATATTAATATAAAACAAATGTTTTAAAATAAAGAAAACACCAAATGAGGTACATAGTTTTTAAATCCTCTTTAGATTGTATATTAGGGCAAATAATAGGTTGAATCTTTGAGATCTTATGAATGTGTTTTAATGCTCTATAAAAAAAATCAACATCGAGCTCGACTCTGTCACAGCTTCGATCAAATAGAAACGACTTCTAAAGATAATAAGCCAGATAACACGTCAAATTCAAAGTGACAATTAGCTGACATATTACTGACAATTAGCGTAATGCGATCCATGATCGCCATGGTGATTTCTATTTGAAATATTTTCAGAACTTTCGTATATATTATAACTAGTCCGCATAGTCCTGTATTATCTATACTATACTAATATTATAAAGTTGAAAGTTTGTTTGTTTGTTTGAACGCGCTGATCTCAGGAACTACTAGTTCGAATTGAAAAATTCTTTTTGTGTTGAATAGACCATTTATTGAGGAAGGCTTTAGGCTATATAACATCACGCTGCAACTATAAGGAGCGAAGAAATAATGGAAAATATGGAAAAAACGGGGAAAATTATTCATTTTTGAGGGCTTCCGTTGCGTGCGCTGCGAAAACGGTTCAAGATACCAAAAATATGTGTATGAAAAAATTATACCTCTTGAAATGATCTTAAAAATGTCGTAATTTAGAAAAGGTCACATCAGTATTTATTAAGCTTTCACTGAATCGTCATACTTAATATTATTGTGTCATATTTACTTAATAATCCATTAATAAACTAATGCTGGCCCACCCAATTTGCATAAAATATTAAGGCCACCATTCGTCCGCATCAGTACTGACGCTTCATCATTAATATCACCAGTCTATTTATTTCCCCAATGCTGGTACACATACCGACTTTATACATGTAATCTAAAAGGTAGGTGTTAACAACTGCAGCAGCAGCTGGGATCCACGGCTTAAGATGACTTCCTAAACACGAAAGCTCGGGATAATATATTTTTAGTAACTCGTATTATAGATAAACCTGCCCTCGCGAAAAATGCTCAACTACCGCATCGCAGATTAACCAACACGCACGAACTCATAGAGCGTTATTAACGCATACTTCCGTTCATACGCTCGAGGGATATTCCGTTAGATTTTTGCCGGCCCTTTTTTCAATAATTAAAAATGTTAATTATTCCTTCACTCATTCGGCAAGCGATCGAAATTAAATATAAAAGGTATTCCCAATTTTTACATTTTCGCTTGACGGATAATGAAAAGATAATACCTACTGTATATTTGACCGCCATGGCCTGTTGACTGAAAAAAAAAATGTTTTCATATCGTATATACGCATGGATGATGGATTCCGCATTACGTACTTTGTTTATGTGTGTATTTATAAGTTGTATTATTTTGTGTAGCTTTATTCGGCTTATTGGAATTAATATTAATTAACTAACGAGATCCTCAAAAAACCTTAAAACAAGGGTTTACAACCAATGCGTTCTTTCGGTCATGAGTTACGTTTGCGAAACATGGACTATGACTGAGGAGATGATACATCGACTTAAGGTCACCCAGCGAGTAATGGAACGCATTATGCTCGGATTTTTTTACGGGAAAGGACCCGAAACAACGTTATCCGCCAACGCACGAAAGTAACCGATATATGTAAAAGGATAGCGAAACTTAAACGGCAATGGGCAGGTCACGTGTAGCAAAGAGATCATGAATGCGCCAAAAGTTTTACACTGGAGACACCGACACAGGAAGACGAAGTGTAGGCAGACCACCACTGGCTAGTGGCTTATAATTTTAAAACTAGACACTTAGTCCATTGGTACAGAATCGCCATAAATGACTTTGCCTTTTATCTAGCTTTTGTATATTTAATATTTTTCTTTCTAATATTTACGACAAACATTAGACAACATTACTGAGATCAGATTCAATAGCTATAGCACTTGTATTATGGAAATCTAAAACAATTCGGAGAGACATTTAAAAGTATCTGTTTGTGGTATTAAAACCAGATTTATAAACTATCTAAAAAGTTATATACTTCATTAAGTGCATAGGATTAGATTTCCTTTTCAACTCTAAGACTCAGGTACGCGAATAAAGTGCTGAAACTATGAAACTAAATAAATTAGTTCTCTAACAACTTGTTTGTCTTTTGCGAATATGTATAATAAAATCGCGTTTCCTTTGTGTTTTCATATCAGTTTTTGTCGAAAAAGCTATTCTATAAAATTAGATATAGTGAAGCATCTAGTTCCTAGGTAACAAGAGCGATATTTCAAAATAGTTTAAGAACAGTTCATAATAAAAAGCAAAATATTAGATAATTTTTATGTTATTTCCTTTACATGAAACGACTGAATCTTATCATAAATCATGAGGTTTCTAACATAAATCTCAAACGGCTTGCTAGCTTACAGGCCAGATTTACGACGATACCCCTTGACTGCAACCGTTCAACTTACTAAAATAAAATGATGAAAAAATATTCGCTTTTCATTATATTTCCATCTCTTTTTAGTTTATTATTGGTGAATTCATAAAAAAGATGAATAATAAATAATTTCACGTACATTGCGCAGCAACCTAATCTTGTCTTAATCTTGTCCAAAAAACAAATTTTTAGTTTAATGCTGCAAACGTGCATAACACAAAATTTTAATAACGATCGAAGTGTCTGATTCAAATAAATCTGTGACCTTGATCACATTCATCGTGTAATCTGTTGATTGATGATGAATCCAGATTGAAATGGTAACAAATCCAGATTTGATTTTTGTCATCGATTCGCAACTTTAATGTTATTACGATCCAGATGATCGTCTAATGGCCGGTTTAGGGTTGCATCTTATCGTTAGTACATACTAACATTATAATTTTAATACGAAGTATAAATGACGCTTTATTAAAAATAGTATTATCATCATCTATGTGAATAAATAGACATTCACTGTTACAAATCATTCTGAAATTCTTTTACCAGTAATGATGAAGAAAAAATAATCGCAATTTTAATTCTTGGTTAAATTTTCTTTTATAAAAACCTCATTAACAACTCGAAATTATATAAAGTCATTTTATTATACGGTAGTACTTAAGATAAGTTAATAAAGATAACGTGATGCATAAAATTTTAGTATCTCAAATTCAAAAGGAAGCTGTGTCGGTAATGGTTATTGTCTAAAACACTAAGAGAAATCTCAAGTTACTGGTAGCTATAAGAATTACTTTATATTGCCAGTGCAGATTATTATCTATATATTAACCAACTGACTCGGCTTTACCATATTTTGGGATTAACCATTCTTATCCTTTAGGAATATAAAAAAAGATAACAACCTATTCTCAGTCCTATACACATATATACACATAAAATATTAAATAAAATAAAGACGAACATAATAGGCTCCGATACTACTGGACCCATTTTGAAAATTCTTTAACCTGCGAGAAGCTACATCATGCGCGGGTGACATCGGCAATATTTTAAGTGAACAAAATCATGGGAAAATAGCTAAGTAAAATAGAGGATATTTCCATCGATCAAAGCGTTCTAGCGTCATCTACCGATTAAAGAAATAATGAAGTAACAATGACGTGTAATGACGTGACACTAACATAAATAGATGTTAACGGACGCTGTGTAGAAAAATTTGTATGTAAGTATAATTTCATCGTTCTTTGTTCAAAAAATAATTTAATACATGAATTTTAAAGGTTACCTTTATAATTTTAAAATACCAAAAAGCCGAAGATTTGATTTTGAAAATAAAAATAAATCAGCGATCACAGCGATTTGAAAAATTTATATCAACTCTTTTCACAAATATATACTTTCAATACTCTATTGGATTATTTTTATTTCGCAGTGAAACGTAAAATGTAACACAGCACCGTCTGTAAACCCCTTTTATCTAACACATTAACTAACTCCTATTAAACTAAAACTATCTCGAATAAAATATGTTACTTTTGTGTAACAGTTTGCCCATATCAAAGCAATACGATATGGGCAATCTCAGTTTTTTTAGCAGTGAGCATAATTTATTTTAAATTATCTTTGCAATTTTTAGCACAATATTGTTTATAGATTTGTTTTTTATTTCCATATCATATCTCAATTTCAACATCTATAAAGATAAAAATCTAACACGAGCAAAATATATATGTATATTAACTTTAAAGGGTAGTAAGTTTTAATATTAAAAAAACCTAGCAACAGCTTTCTAGAGCTGAATTAATAGCAGTTATAAATCTTACTCGTCTTTCAGATGCATGGAGAACGGGACCTGGTTCCTTCATCCCGAGGGAAACAAACCATGGACCAATTACACCACATGCATTGACATTGAAGATTTAAGCGTAAGTATGACATTTGAATAAAATTAAATAACTCAATATTTACTTTGTAAGCTCTTAGTAAGTAGCACAGGGAATTGTCTAATTTGCTAATATTAGACTTCACATTAAAGTTTTTACTAAATATAACTTTAGCTGTAAGTGTAATCAGCCCAGACCAATCCGTTCATATAAAATTATATTTCTTCTTTTTTTAATGGCTTATCTTGTGCGCCTTTTTCACAATTCTGCCAATGTCAAGTGATTAACTAAATTGTGTAAGTGATTAGTTAAATTAATTTCTAGAGGTAAAATGAAAGTGAAAATAAAACTCCATGTAAAATTCATACCCAGGACCTCAGATGAAATATCTACTAGTATTGTTTACATGGCCAACGATATTTAATCGTCTTTAAAAACGCAATTGTAGAAATGCGCTTTCTATAGTTTAGCGCTCGACGAAAATACTGATATGTCAGATACTGTGTAATTGATAGTTTTCATGAGAGGAGTAACCGAAAACTATCCAGCTATCGTGGAATTGCTAGAATTGTCTTCAATGAAAGATAAAACTACTGGACAACATATCTACGGAGAAGTTAAAAGTTGTATAGAAAAATATGAAGTTCAAACGGGAAATCTTTGCGGCTTAATTACAGATGATGCACCTGCGATGACAGGAACAATGGCTTTGTGGCTTTTATGCGTAATAGCATCACTGTGTTATTCAGCATGAACATCTATGTGCAAAAGTTCTTGACCTGAAACCCGTGATGGATAAAGTAGTGCTTAATCACAGACAGTTCCAGGTTTTTCTGACTGATGTCGGTTCAGATCACTAAGATTCTTTATACTTCAGTCGCGTTCGCTGGCTCTGCAAAGTAGCCACGCTAAAACGATTCTACTCCCTGCTCGACAACGTAAAGATTTCTCTAGAAAACAAAGACCAAGATATTAGTTCCCTTACTAATGAGCAGTGGCTGGCTGATCTGACTTTCCTGTTTGATAGAACTAAATAGGTATATTTCTGATCTTAACTTGAAACTGCAAGGGAAAGACCAACTATACACATAGTTTGTTTCATTGGAAGACCTTATATTCAAGATAATTTGTATTTAGACAAGTACGTGCTGTTGTTACAAAGATTGAGGAACGAGTTTGACGAGTGATAAGCAAACTTCAAATCACAAATTCCCAGCATGAAAGTGATTCAAAATCAATTTGATGTTGAAATCGAATTTGAAGCTGGAGTTTTGCTGAAGAATTGCAAAATCGATCTCATCTAAAAACAGCAAATAATAATTATCTTCCAAATTTGATTGAATTTTATTAAAATTATATTACACCCGATCAATACCCAAACATTACTAAGCTGCCTATTCAACAATTTCTTTATTTGTAGTACATATGTTTTAAAGCTGTACAGCTGTTTTCCTGCATGAAATTTAACAAATCAAAAACCAGATCATCTTTATCAGAAAGCCATTTTACAGGCATTTTGCGCATAGCCACATCTGAAGACTCAAGCAGACATATACCTATATATGTGCTTTAACAGAAAAAATGTCAGACATCTCATTAATTCGATTTTAAGAATATCTTTATATGCCTGCTAAGACCAAAAATACATAGTTACAGCAATAATAATATACTAATATTTATGTGATATTGGCTTTTATAAATAAATATATAAAAACTGAAGGTCATTTTGTTTTTTGGCTCGCTGGGGACCTGCTTTTGAGTCTGGCCCTACACAAATTATGTCAGTCAGGCCTGTACTAGACCAAATTGAAAAGATATTCAGATTCATAAATGTGTACGTCGAATGTGACAATTAGTATTATCACGGGCTACAATACCGTTAAAGGTCTCTGTCGTTTGTTGAAAAATAAGTAGTCCACAATAATTTGTATAAAATATGACGTCAGATTAAGTTTTACTAAAAATCGGAATTATTTCTGTGATATTCATTAAAAAAGTTATATATTTTATTATATACGTACCTTTGGCAATATTGTAAAAAATCATCATAGTGTTAACTCGTAATTACAAAATAATTTCTTTTTCATACTTTACTTGTCTTTCTATACCCAGCTATTACCACATTTTTAGAATAGGGTGGTTACCCTTTTCCAAAAATTCATGCAAAACATATTTTGCCAAATTAAGGGTTAACAAAAACTTTTAAAATCGTTTGTAGGTTATGTATGTTTATTTAAGTAAACCTAAATAAATAAATAAAATATTTGCCTAACTCATTAATATTAGATTATTCAATACTCGTAATTAGTGGATAAGCTTATGAAATTGTTTATCGATTTTACAGTCGCTTATTGTCCCGAATCGTTCAAAAATAAAACTTTAATAAAATACAAAAATACTAGCAGCTAAAACTTTGTTTTTATACCGCATCCAAAACGGTAGTTCATAGCGTCTACATTAATCTTAATATAAGCTGCTGACTCAAAGGAATTCAAATGCAAGACTATGGTTGTTTCTGGTGAAGTTTCGTTTCTCTTATTTGTGTCATTTTTTACTTAGGTATAACCTTTTTACTATATTTAAAAGCACGGTTCAAATAAAGAAATTTAAAATATGTTTTAAATTATGCACTAAGTAGTTTTACGTGGCCCATGACTTAAATTAGATTACTATATTTATCCCTAAACCAAGTAATCATAAACTTCTTGGAGTTGAGTAGGATTTCAAACGAAACAGCTATAGGCGCAGACTTTCATCGAGTCTACAGGCAACTAAAATATATTAATTAATGCAGATTCACATGAATTGTTTAAAATTCTGAAAGCCAACAAACTCTGCCCAATATTATACTCGTAAGTATACTACGAATCACGGTTGTTGATGATGTGGTTTTTTACTGTGTCAGCGGATGCTGATGTTAATATTTATAAATTACGAAAATAAAATTTATCACACTATAAAATTATTAGCAAATATGGTGTTCTAATTTGATTATAATACAATTTATCTTTACTAGAATTATGAAGATGAAAATTATTTCACCTACAGGCAGCTAAATTACATGCGGGTGATATAGGCTATAAATCAATGCGAACGAACACCTAGTACTTAATCATTGACGGCCTCGAGCAAATTACGTTGACAAAACAATCAAGGCACATTTGTGACAGCTTATCTTTTAAACTCAATGTTATTTACGTTCATCCTCACTTTCAACGAACGAACGCGTTGCGACTTAAATGTCATTATTAAAAATCAGCATAATCGATGCTGATTGCTGATGCGGATGCTGATGCTAATGTTAATACTGAAATAAAAAATATTCGGATATTGATGCTGATTTTCGCAACAACCCTACTACGAATATAATATATTACTCCTAGAATGTAGGTTTGCTTATTCTCTGTATAATATGATTTTGGACTAATACTAGAATTTCAATTTTAGCGTTAATTTACTCTGACGCTAAATCTTGTTTATAAGTAGCACTGTGATAGTGCATTAAAAGACTACTCCTTAAAAGCAAATGAATACATTTTTAATTTAATATTTAGGTTTTATAATTTCTTTAATGTATATTATTTTTTCAAGAAAAATACAAATATTAATAGATAGATATCGTGCCCGTTCTAATTAAAATCAAGTTGCATCTTGTTTTCTTTTCGCATATTTTCATCATCACAAGGTTGTACCCTAATTATGGGTTATCACTTGACAATGTATTTAATTGATATCGTGTAAGAATTAATGGAAAAAACGTGAATGGCATAATGTTAAGTATGCATAAATTTTATATTTAAAATTTAACCTGTACAATCCAACATGATGATGAATGTAATTTTGAAAACATTCTCTAGAATTAATGCAGGTAGGTATGTATAGTATAAATTAAATTAAGATATCTAAATATGAGGATGGCAAAATGTTCTTCCGCCCCGGGAGGCAGCCACCCACGCTACGCCTCTAGATACAAACCCATCTTCTGTATATAGGAGACCCATCTATTTTACCTTAAGTAAGCTTTTACAAAACTTTTGCAGTGCCCATGGGAAAAAATAAGTCGATAAAAATCTAGGAAAACTATATAAATATATCCGTAAATACCTTAAATCAATGTGTGCTCCTAGCATGATACCACGCGTATAAACCGAGGTATGGTAGAGTCAACTGGATCCAGCAGCGTTTGTCCCTATCTAGATTACGCCACGTGTTGCCATACGCGAATAGGTAACTGTTTTCTTATATTTCCATGATCTCTGAAATAGGTCTGATATAATTCCTATACTGAAGCATATAAAACCGATCTGCGTGTTTCCAGTTTAGACTTACTTCATTTTCTACAATTAATTAATTCGAGAAGCTCGATTATGCAGTTGTTATGTAGAGCGGTCAGCAATGTACAGGTTAAGAAACTTTCGCAAGGGTTTAAAACAACCGCATTGTGACTTATGATCCTTACTCTCTCTTTATCTTAACTCCATTTGATTTGAGTTCATCCTGAGCCTATGACCCAGCATTAATAAGTTATGTGTTAATGTCTACTTAATAAGTCTATGTATGTTAAGTAAAGTTTTCCTAAAGTAAACACTAAGATGGAGGAAATTTTACGCATCTTTTTCATTTCCCATGAGAACAGTCGTGGCCGTGCTAGCTGGATATAATTATACATGACTGATGTATAAATATTTTAAAGATATATACCTTAGAGCGGTTCACTCGGGGACTTTTTTGTCAGCAGTGTCAATAGGCTTCTCTGCATATTGTATTGGTAGAGTGTCTTGATGGCGCAGTGTATTGCTCGTACACTAAGAAACAAAATACCACTGCCCTACTCATGGAGTAGTAACCAAAAAGTTTTAATCACTAGCTATCCTGCTTTGGAAATGAAATTTCAGCATGTTACGAAGCACACCGGATCATCTAATATGAAATATATCTGTGACCATATTTCACAAATCACTTATTGTAAGGAAGACATTGCACTAAAAATATTGGACTTCAAGAAGATAGTACATTTGCTAAAATTCAAGTAATAAAATTAGCAGAATTGAGATTCAGAATATTTGCAGGCATAAATTTCTTGGCGATCACGGAGCGTAGGCAGACGTCCTACAAGATCGACCGATTGTCGTGGATATTTTTGGAAGGCTTTGTCTAGGAGTGGGTTTTATCAGCTGATATAATAATATAACTTGGATTACAGTCAAATATTAATATGGGATTACATTGACATGATTTAGCCAGAACGTTACCATGGTACCTCTCTCTCAGGCTCCTATGATTGTTCAAACAAGGTAGATAACATCGAATCAATTGATTGTTTAAAAAATATTACACAAAATATGTAATAAATTAAAATTATAACATTTTTAAATTGGTATAACCAAAATTTTATATGTACGTACTTTACGAGTGTTTACTCTAATATTTACTTTGTTATATTCTATTCGCATGTACCTACTAAAAGTTTTTACCTATAATTAATCATTTATCTAATTACGAAAATTTGGGTATTGAAAGTTACAAAGTCGGTTCCCGCTGTCTGTATGCTGAGACCTTTTAGACTATACAACGAATTTTGATACGATTTTCATCAATACATAAAGTAATTTAAGATATATCTCTATAGGTATATCTATAAAATTCACGTGTCACAATATTTGTTCCCGTACTCCTCCGAAACGGCTTGACCGATTGTCATAAAATTTTGTGAGCATATTGAGTAGGTCTGAGAAACGACCAACATCTATTTTCCATACCCCTCAGTGATAAGGATTGTCCTCCCTTAACATTTTTTGTCTACACTAAGAATTACTTAGAAATAATTTATATGGCAAAACAACGTTTGCTGGGTCAGCTAGTACTCGTATATCTATAATACAATATTACACGAGCGAAACCACTGACGGAAAGCTAGTTGTTTATAAGGAAAAAGTTTTCCAAATAACAATAATGTCGACACCCATTTATAGGGGTAAATTCACAAATTACAGTGTGCAAAGGAAAGGAAATTAATCCACTCTCCGGCTAAAGGAAAGTGGGTGTATAAATATCAGCATGAGTAGTTTTCGACAATATTATTACAGAGTATGAGATCAAAGTACTCCTACGTATTTTAAATAATTTATTACGTCAACAAACTTTTAATTTTATTCCAAATTAATAAAAAAAATTACAAATACTTTTCATTTTGAACACATTTTCGTTTTGGTAATGTCAAGAAAATGTTATACCAATGACAATATATTATAATAGAGGAAATGATGAAGGTAGGGATTCCGTCATCATCATTAGTCATCCTAGAGGGAACAAAGCAAGGAGGATAGACACTAAGACTTCGAAGTCAAAATTTTCGTTAATAGTTGGGACCACAGAACACAGAAAAGAGGTTGGGACTTAATGTGCCTTGAGAAACACGAAGAAGTTTCACTCACCCGTCCTATTAAATCTTTTCAACAGTAGATAACAATTCAACGAAGGTTAACAACTGTATCTTAGACAGAACGCGATAACCACTGCGCCATCAAGCTCCTCAATTATAATAAATAACATATTCATCATCGCCAGACCTTTCATGTCCGTAGTGGGGACATGAACGGTCTGATGAAGCTCAGGCCTACCATATTGAAGGGAATTAAATCAAATCAATTAGGGAGAATGTGCCAATACCCACCACGCTGGCTCGATATGAATTGTCGAATCATATTAGTAAATTGTTTATAAAATTTTATAAATTTATACATATGATATATATGATTGTATATATGATTTATTAAACATTTATAAAACGCCTACAAAAGTTGTGACATAATCTAACATTAATATAATTTGTATAAAAGCTTGTAGCTAATGATATCGGAGACGAGGAAATTCTCATTATTTTTGACGCGCTACAAGCTTTCAAATCAATAACTGTTAGATAATTATAAGTACTATAACATTTAAGTTATGAACTTGTCTTGGATAAAATTATTATTTAGGTTTTTATCAAAACCTTGAACTGGAAGTATCTAGAACCAAAGTCCTTATAAAGACGGATCTAACTTGCCCAAACACGATGCAGTTGCGTCATTTCATCACTTAATTTCTATGGCCACCTTTCGACCTCATCACCATATCATTTTACTAATACCATAATATTGCACTGTCTTTCAAATTTATCGGACATTGGGAAGTTGGTCAAATGTGATTTCCAAGATTTGCGCAATAGCTAACACACTAACAAGCCAAGTAAAATAAAAACTTGTAAAAAGAACTAAGAACATAGATAGGTGCTAAATACGTCGGGATTTTTCAAAATTCGACCGCAAATTATTTGTTTTTGGGGTCGATAGTTTATATGAAACTTTATTAATACAATTAATATTTGATATAAGTAACATTTTGCACTCCAATTGTAATCATCAACACTATAAGATATTGCACTATAAAATATATATCTACTATCTACACTATACTATATATATCTACACTATAATCTCAATGTCAAACAGCAAGCCATCCTTTCAAATGATACATCAGAATGAAGCGTATACTCTGGCATAGATGACTAATATGTGTACTATACGCTCACTTATATCTCTTCATACTAAAGTATGAGAGATTAAGCCACGCGCGGAATATGATAAAACCCTTAATAATAGCAGTCAATGTATCATTTATTACACACGAACCGCCAACAGTGTATTACGCTCTCTTAAACAAAGATAAATTAGGCGTTGTTATTAAAACCGTAAAATTATAGAATATAGTAATTATTAAAGTTAACATAATTATTTGTTACTAAAGAACTCTGAATATAAAATTTTTTGGAAAATGTAGTAGCGATAATGATGAAAATATGATACTCTATGATTTTAATTAGTGCGAAAATAGCAATAATGAGTACGCACGAAACACCTTAAGTATTTTGATATCGATACGTGGAAAAATTTACCCTGTCAAACGATCAGATGTGACCCCACTCGTTATTTATATTTACGAGTATTACTAATACTTGTACGGTCTAGATGAAAATGAAAAATAGTTTTAGTATTTTAGTATTTCGCTCTTCATTATCTACACCATAGGTAATGTGTTTGTAAGTGCGCGCGCGCGGGAGTGTTTCTGTGTTTTGAGTTCTGTCGAATTGATAATATTGCTCATTTGTATTTTTAACATGAATAACTTACTCCTACAATGCAACAAAGTTTCCGTTTCTACATAAAATATGTTAAAATCGATTGCCATTTCACTACAATTTCTTTACATTTATTAAAATTCCGTGTATGTATCCAACGTATTTTATTTGATTATAAATGTGGGCAGACTGTACTATATATTGCCTCTGGGTAAATGTTATTTTAACTTTTTGTTTTGGTGTAATTATGTTTTTTCATTTACATTGGTATATTTCTTCACTACAATTAACACTACATTATGAATACCTCTCTCTATACGTTATTATTTTAATGTACCGACTACTGGACACAGACTTCCCTATAAATGGAATCAAAACAAGAGATTAGGCCAAGCGAGTTCAGTGCGTATTGGTGGGTGTTAACATAATTATTGGTTACCCATCTTACTACCGGCCCTTGCTAAAGTTGCTAAACTTCGGCATTGCAGACCGAACACGCTAACTCCTGAGTCATCGAGCTCCTCGTGTACTTGAACGTGAGAAGAAATAAGATCGTTGAGCTGCACGACTTCAGCGACACCTAGCGTCAGCAATATTAAGCTTTAACGTATTATTTTGGACAAAATATCAAAATGAACAACTATCTATTAATTGCGTTATCCCCACCTAGTACTTCGCACCTAGATAATATACTAAATCGTGTGGTTAAATAATATATACCTAGGTAAATAATTTATGGACGACGCTCAGTGGGTAGGCCTCTAACCAGGTGGAACAACGATCTTGTAAGGTTGCAGGAAGTCACTAGATGCGGGCAGCGCGGGACCGATCATCTTGGAGATCAATGGGGGAGACCTATGCTCAGCAGTGGGCGTCGTATGGCTGTTGTTGATAATTATATAATTTACTGACATACAACGAAATGGATAATTGCTATCTTCCTGTTCTTATAATTTTTTTTAACGATACAAAAGTGTTTACTGTTGTTATTATAGCATATCCGAATAAAACAACCCTATCAGTTAAACATTTTGTTAAAGTAACAAAGTGATATTTCGGTGGTAGTAGGAAAAAGTTAATATATATAAACATTCTTAATAGTATTATTATTAAATATTTTTAATAGTATTATTTAAGCAACAAAATGTCTAAACTTCTTCGTCATAAAAATAACTTTATATTGTTGAAGTTATAACGTTTATTTTGTTTTTCAGTTCAGGAGTGTTGTCAACAACATTTACGTGATAGGATATTCCGTCTCTGTGGCTGCACTTATATTGTCTATTATGATTTTCCTTCACTTCAGGTTAGTGCATATTATCAATTAATTTTAACTGTTAGCTAATGTTAAAAATATTTAATAATTGTTATAAAATCACTCACACTGTTTTAGTTACTATATTCCTCCGAAATGGTATGACAGGTTTTGATGAAACTTTATATGATTATTCACTACGTCTGCGAATATTTTTTTATCTTGTTTTATACCCCTAAGTGATAACAAAAAGTAAAGTATATATATATATATATATATTAGTTTCTTGATGACGATTATTAAGAATATAATGATCCAAGTAAATAATTAAATGGGACGAATTTTAACAAATATATGAAGACGTAAATATTTTGGTTATTCAGAATCTAGCAACAAGATCAAGATGAAAATTGCAAGCAAAGAGAACGATATCGATGATACGCACCATTATAAGTACTACAATGTTTACTCATAATGGTGCGTACCATCTACTTTTACTTATATTGTGTTTCATTAAAAATAGATAACGTATCATAAAAACGTTTTTTATAAGTACTTTAAATTAAGGATGAAATAAAATATGTGTTCAAGCTGTAGCGAGTAGGGTACTAATTTGCTGTTAATAATTTCTTTAATGTCGTCATATCACGAATTCATCTAAAATGAATATTACTAATAAAATTTCGAATATAAGCTTTTCTGTATAACGAAGGCCTAGATAATATAATCTCTATTGTATTACGATATGTAATCCTCAATCCAGAATTAACTTTACTAAAAATACGTATCTCATTTTATCTCCGAATTAAAATTAGATGCACCAAACACAAAATATGAAAACAGGTGTGTACTGTATAAATATAGAATACTGAAACTTTTAACAAAAAAGCTCTTTTAAGCAGAATTATACTTTAATTTAAAAGCTTTTAATATAACAATATTACTTGCCCTGATGTCTTAGTTTCCATAAATAGAATAAAAGTATGTTTATATCATCCAAAATTTAGTCATAAAAATACGCTTCTTTCAATGTCAAGCTGTACAAAAAATTACATTAAACGGTATTTCTAAACAAAACAATAAAAAATAAATAAATCACAATTTTATTTTTTAATCTAAATATAAAAAATAAATAATGATTAAAAATTAGGAAGAAGGAAGGATGAAAAACTTAGGGGCTATGTTGTTCGTGGTTCAGTTGATAGGATTATGAGATCAGTCAAGTATTACGTAAGGACCAAGGGGGGATAGGGATTTCCTTTGGTTGTTTTTGACGACAATATAAGTTTCTCCAGCATGTCATGGAACTCAATATGATGAGGATGATAGCTAAGTCAATAACAAAATAATAATTTGGCTTTCACGAGTGCTATGTAACAGTCTACACTTGATTTTGATATTAATATTTAGTATTGATTTCTGACTTTGTTGCCAAAATGTAAAAAAACATACCAATAAGTAATAACTAGCATAGTCAAATATCGGACATGAATTTAGGATCGACGCACAACTTCCTACCTATTCTTTTGTCGGCTTAGTTGACAACCACACATTTTTTAAATATTATTTTTGACACTCATTTTACATTTCTATATTTAATAGATGATCTTTAACTCGTGACAATGAAATAACCATGTCAACGAAACATATGAAAAGGGGCAGGAGCTTTTATGACTTCCATTACCAAGGGAAGATTAACATAATTAGTATAATTTTGCTTTCGTGACACCTGACTGATCTTTATTTATGTCAGCATTTAACTATATTTACATGTTTTTTTTCAACCTTCCAAGGTCACTACAGTGTACGCGCATAAGAATCCACGTGCACCTATTTCTAGCGTTTGCCCTCAACAACGTACTGTGGATAGTGTGGTACAAAACCGTCGTTGAGAAAGTCAGTGTCGTTCAAAATAATGAGGTAAGCTCGAATCGCTTAAAGAATTTTTCAATCTAACACAATACATTATTCGAAGTTTTTGATTTCAGATTGATGTTTATTCAGATATTTGAACTGTAAATGACTTCTATACTTTGGCATCATAATCTTTTATAACTCTTAGCCTTGCCTACTCGAGGTTTTCAACAGATAGTAGTAGTGAAGATATGTATGTCTGTATGTTTGCATCGAATAGGCTCCGAAACTACTGCACTGATATTAAAAAATCTTTCACATACGGGTAGCTTCATCATACGGTTTTGACATAGGATATAACTTACGCGTGCGAAGTTGCGAGAAAACAACTAGTATATTATAAAAGGAGGACTAAATTTACTTGCCTTTGATTGCCTTAAATCATTGATCGCTTAAAGCGAATTAACAATGACTGACGAAGAAATTATGAATGGAGAGAAAACTTATTTTGTTTAGAATGGTTTAAACCTGGTACTAAATATATGTAGGTATAGTCCTCGTTTTATAATGAGACTGTTTATTAATGATATCTTTAAAACAAGACTTCACTAGGACTACTTACTGAGGATCAGTTTTGTAATTCTGTTTAAAGACAGTGTCGAGAACTTAAATAAAATCGTTAATTATTAACTGTCGAAATAGATTTTATTGTTGAGCAATGATTGATCTTTTATAAAAAGAATCAAATAAAACCGACACAAAAATAAATATTTCACAAAACAATTGTTAATAAATATAATTTAAGGTTTCCTTTAAATCTATCACACTCGACTGATGTGTTATTGAAACTAATGAATTAAAAAGTCACTGGCATCTATAAACAACGGCATTATATATATTGGATGCTCTATCGATCCTTCCGAATTGTTTATCTTATGTCAGAAAACACTGATACTAATGTTATTTTCTTTTGAATAACATATTATACAAGATCTAGTAAACACCATTTCTATGTGGAAAGAAATAAATACTCTAATTCGTAATCTAGTTTAGTCCATTAGAAATTTGAAATGAGTTTTCCGTACTTACGTTTTATGTCAATATAATTCAACATTAAATTCATACAATCCTAAATAAATAAGCCCTATTTGAATTCTATTTGGGAATCCAATACGTTCATCATTTTCAGTTCATGACAATACTTGTAGTTGTTTTTTTTTTATGTTACTATATATATTAAGTATTCCACTACGTTAGGTTTTTTTTATAATATTAAGAGATCATTATTAAATACAGAAATTCTAAATAGAAATTTCCATGAGTACCATGACAACGTTAACGCCTACAAAATGTTTGTTAAGAATTTTCCAGACTTGTTATTTTCAGACTGACAATTGCCATATTTTATATATTCGCAAATATTTTCGTTTAGTTTAATCCTTATAAATCTTTATCACTTTTATCGGATAAATTAGGTATAAAAGAATGAACACGTGAAAAACATCAATACGCCACAATATCATCTTTTAAAACTATTCGATTTTTATAATAGGTTGAGGAAAAAGTTTCTTCGCGTTTTATATGAATATTTATTTACATTTAACTGAAACATGTAGGTAGCATTTTGTTCAATAACTTTTTGCTATCTTGTAGGTCAAATTGAGACTAATTTAAGCATCCATAATTTAAACTAGTTTTATTTCTAGGTATTCTAATATAAATGATAAAAAACACCGAATGACTATTTTCTCGATTTTGAATAGGTATGATTTTATACATATCTAAATTATTCGTTTATTCATTACCAATTAGTATAGATTACCCATTTTTTCGTTCTTTATATCGTTAGCAATTATTTTGTCTTTTTAATATAAAAAGTTTAATCGTAGTTATGAAAGAGACAAACAAACTAAACCTTTTTATATTGTATAGTATAAATGTTATTTACAAAGCTACGTTCTGATTTCGGAAAAGTTGGCGCGTCTGTTTTACATAAAAATTTCCGGAGTGAAAACACTTAAGCCAAAGAACAATGACTATCTGCCTAACATGCTTGGATTAGGAAAATCGAATAAAACGTAACTTGGTGAAATATATGTTATTTTGTTTGCCTATGCAACTAGGATAAAGAAAGACATTAAATATATTTTTAAAAGCTGGGAGTATCGAGTAATTGTGTAATATGTTTTTGAGCTTATGTCGTATTATTTAAACTGGAGCATTTTGAGTTAGAGGTATTACAGATTAAATATGTGAAGCACACGTCAGATAATGCCTAATCGTGGTCCTAGAAGTGCATACTTTCACATAATACTTCAAACTTGCTCCATATCTGATATATTATTTTTTATTCACTCTAAGAAATAAAAACATTTTTTGTGAACCAATGAACTTCCAAAAAAATAATAATCGAATTTTTAAGATTGCTCTCATTAACTCTAGTTTTCTATATTACACTATAACATATATAAAGTAGTAGTGAAAATACTAATCTCAAAAGGGTATATCAAAACAACATGTTGATTTTTCTTTTCTTTATTACAACTCTAATGAATATCTCATCACGGAATGCTGCAGGAGCAGCTACATTCTGTTCGTGTCTGGCCTATCCAAGATACCAAACTAAGGTCATTATATGAGTACAGCATCCCAATAAGTGTACATCGACCAAAAAGACAATTACAGCAGTATTCTCTTATGCCATCTAACGCAGATGTGTCATTGTTTTTCTCGACTTAATTCTACCCCTTATAATTAAGACTTCATTTATATTTAAGTCTAATTGTAATAAATCCAGAGAATCCAGTATTCCTCTAGAGACTTCGATTCTATACTGCTAATGGAACCTAGTATGCTCCCCATAATACAGAAGATAACACAATATCGCCGCCAAAGTTACAAAACGGTCTGCGCAGAAACAGGTGTACACATACGCTTGTCTAAAAAAGGGAGATTGATTACTGTAATATCGATTTTTATGAATAATCATTAGTTTTTAATTTCGTTATAAAACAAACTATTTTCCTCTAAGCAACATGTAATTATATTAGTAATCTATCTAAGTTTTTATAATTTTCATGGATTTATACGGTTAATAAATAACATAAGATTTGTATCACAATCGATTAGTCCGAAATAAAATCGATCTTGTTCTTTGAAAAGAGATGTACTTCTCTAGGAATGTCATTATTATTAATTACAGATGCGTTCAAAAATAACATAATTTAAACTGCGTTCTAAAAAGTAAAGACATATGTTAGTGAGGATAATCTTTCTTTTCCCAACTTTAAAAATAAATTGTTGGTGTATTATTATTACATTCAACTTATACTACATTTTGGTGATAGTTCCATCTTGGTAACAAGAACTTTTTTTTCGTAGTCCATTTTGACCATAGTTCTTTGTGCTATTCTCATCGAAACTGCACTAGGTCCATAAACATTACAAATGTTTTAAGCGGCTTGCGTTTCATTTTTACCTTTTCTGTAATAAAATTATAAATGTATCGAATTTCTTCATTAGATTCACTCATTTTGCAGTAAGAAAAACAAATGAAATCCACACATTGTCCTAATTTAAATTCAGAGGTATCTTCTTTATATTTTAAACTTTTTAATGATACCGATATTAGCCAGATACAAATGTCATAGCCAGAAAGATTTTATTCCAAGTTTATGCATATTATATGCGAAAAAGCTTTTTCCCCAACCTAAGGGGCTATCTATAAATTACGTCACACGGGAGAGGGAGGCGGTCGACGAAGTGACATTGTGTGACAAGGGGGTGGGAGGGTCTCAAATTTCGTGACACATTTCAAAATCTGTTATAATCTAAGTGTTGAAACACAAACTTTAAACTATAACTTTACAAAAACCTTGTAAAATATGTGACATCACACTAGGAGGGGGGAGTCTTACAAATGTGACCAGATGTGACTACGACGGGGGAAGGGACAAAAAAGTCATGAATATCGTGTGACGTAATTTATGGATTTCCCCTAATGTACCTACAGATTTTTCTGTAATTATTAAATTACCTTTGTTGTAACTGACCACTGCAAATTTATAGAAACACTCGCAGATATTTCAATTTGGAGATCACTGCACAAACGTTTTGTTTTTTTATGTCAAAATAAATAGTCATCTAACACCCAGTTGCAATTAAAATTGTCATTTGTTTAAAAAGCAACATTACTGATACTATATTTCAAAACATTCATTAGAAGTTAATGGATGTTTGCAGAACTGAGTGCCATTACAATAAATGTGTGGGGTACATCAACGAGAAGAAACTTAGAGTCTAAAAAATATACCTAAATAAATGATTATTGTCAATATGAATGAAATAGAAACTTCGTGGGAGAAAATGGAGATTTTTGCTCATTAGTATAAATAATCACCTAGTTAGTGTATTTTCCCCCTAGAAGCTTTATAATATAAAATCTACATTTTCTGAATTATGAGAAATTAAATGACAATAGTATAATTAATATTTTGCCCATATATACTAAAAAGAACCTTGAAGTAAAAATATATATCTACATTCCACATAAACCTCTCGGTTCTGAACTATTAATATACATAGATATTTTTACAGCTTTATCGTTTTATTGTAGAAAACTAATTCAATATTCCATTCGATAAATTTGTTTAAGGCTTTTTTATGTGTGTTAACAGATATGGTGTCAAGTTCTCCATGTCTTAACGAACTATTTCATGGTGACAAGTTACATTTGGATGTTTTGCGAAGGATTACATCTTCACATTGCTCTTGTCGTCGTAAGTATGTGTTTGTATTAATTTTTGTATCATAATAAATTATTAGATCCTTTTTAATATTTCTGTAATAATTAATATTTTATCTAACAATCTACACTACCATATTTTAATAGAAACTTATTATATGTTTTTTTGCTATATTTGCTAGCAGCAATATTCAGCCTTTTGTTGTCCTTTTGTAATCATTTCTTTTAGCTTTCGTCATAAACGAACGGACTTGTCAGATAATAGGAAGCCTATAAACTAAATATTGAAACAATATCTTTGGACAAACCAAACTCGTTTACGCAATTACTTTTTACAAAACTAAATTATTTATATTCCTTTATTAAATGTTTATATATTTTTAAGTGATTATTTATCTGTCACTTTTCAAATGAAGATAATTATGTAAACAAGTGTAAATAGAAAACTAGAACCACTTTGAAATTCTAGAATTATTATGATACTTAAAAACCAAATTATTCGTTTTCGTTTCGTTTTCTTTGGGATCATAGAGATCTAACCTTTAATTTCTGATATCTATGCTTTGATTGATGGATGAAATTATATGAAAAGTTCCTGTATCATTTGTGTATATGAATGGGGTCTATTCTTAATTATTTTATGAGCAATATCTATGAATAGCAAAAAGATATTAAATAGATGTCTCTTAATTAATGTTAGCTCGAAATAGGGTCTATACTCATCGTGATCCAGTGCAAACCATGATTTCCAGCAGTGGAAGTGATTATTGGCCATAAATAAACAGCCACAACATGTATTTCAGATGTCCTTCTTCTTCAAACAATATTAAATCACCATTATGATCTTCTTCCCCTACTCTCAGTTTATGTCGGGTAAACGCAGTGTGTCCTCTTCCCCGATTCAAATAAATTGTAATCAGCAAATAATGTTACATATCATTAAAATTTTAATCAATTTACCTTCAGCTTATTATGTATCTGTTTAATATGCAAAAATTGTACGAAATAATTACTTCTTAATATGTTAACGAAAATTTAGAATCAAGTTTTTACTTTATCGAATCTATTTATTACACTTGGGCGATAACTTTTAGATGGGTTGACAAAGTCGATGTAAAGAATAGGTTTAATAGTATTTATGTACTCCCGATTTAATACTTTAATTGTAATGTTATTGTCTAATTATTATTAATCCGTTATGTTATAACCGCTACTCTGTTTTTAGCTCAATCATGGCTCAATGTAATAGGTCGCTTCCGCTATCAACAATATTTTCGCTACTTGAGTTAAGACGCAAGGACGTGGCAGATTCGATGTTGCCGCTTTATATAAATAAAAAAAGGAAACAAGTTTGTTATTTTTAGAAAAATCATACCCACAATCTTTTAGAAATGGTACGATGCAATTACAGTTCATAAGTTTATTTTGTACCTTGCTCTTTGCCTATTTTTTTTTAATTATTTTATTATAAGCTATTATTGTAAACATTTCGTTTGATACCTATACCATAACAGTGCATAAAAATAACTAGCCAGCTACCTTCTGCAGTCCGCCATGTTAGATTTAAAATAATGAAACTTAGTTAACCATGGATTGACATCTAAACTAAGATTACTAATTTCTTTCATATTCATTTGCAAAATTTTCCGAACATGCATACCTACATCAAGTAAATAAAAACTTAAAAAATAAGAAGGAAATCTTTAGTAATTTAATTGTCCATCTGTGTGACATGTTCTTTGAGCCATGTTTTTACAACATTGACTAATAATAAAAATACCAGGCAAAAGAATAGTCTTAAACTCTACATTAAGCACAGGCAATAACAGAATATACGTTCATTTCAAACAAAACCTACTTCAAAAGGTAATAAAGGTTTTATTTCATTGAAGCTCTACGGTTTCGGATTAAGCGGATTGTGACTCCAGCACAAAATTATTTTTTCACATAGTAAATTCAAAGCTGTTTTTACGAAATAGTATAAGCTAATATTTTTTTTGCAAATGGCAGATTACTAAATGTCATTGAGTGACCAAAAAATTATTATGTCGAGCTACTTCGTGCTTCGGAAGACACGTTAAACCGTTGGTGCCGGCTGCATTTGCAGTCGTTAATACCCTCCAATCCTTATTGGGACAGCGTTGACGGTCATGGCCCATCGTCCTTAACCATCCATAAGGAAGGCCTGAGCCCCTGCAGTGGGGACATAAAAGGGCTGATGATGATGATTTGAATTATTTAAATAACGCCCATAAGCTTTGTCTATAATTCAACTAGTTGAATTACATAAGGACTATGCAGTTATAAAATAATCAGAGGATAATATTATCACTGTTACGGTACAATATTATCCACTGATGCATGCGGTAAGCTATAGTTACGTTTACTATTATAATTTAGACATGTTTAATATTCATAATAAAACAAACAAATCTCAATCGGTATAACAGTTTATTTCAACATTAAATATAAGTACCTACCTATGTCTTGGCTACTCTATCTCTAGATAGATAGAAACACACATACTTTTATATAAAATTATTGTTATTATTCTTGTAAACAAATTCCTATTCTTTAAAAGTATTCGTATTTAAGATAAGATAATATTTGGTGACTATCTTAAGCCAAAACGCATCAGCGAACGAAGCTAGCGTGCCTCGCCTGAGGCAAGATAAGTACCAGAATAGAAATTATAAAATTATTTAATCAAATTTTGCCAATGTCATTCTATAAAATTGTTTAATCAAAGCCGACGACTAAAACATACAATTATGTAATTGACAATTTTAACCAGTTGGTTACAATGTTTCTAAGAAACAATTGTAATAATTTATCATCTACTAGTGGGCCCCGCGAACTTTGTTCCACCCAAGAAATTAAAATGTAAAAATATATAAATTTCCTGGTTCCTCCTAACAGCCAATGAATGAGTTCATTTAAGAATTAAGCCACATTTAGCGATTATCTATAAATATAAAAATAAATCGCCAAAATGTATAACTTCCAAACGACTACACCATATTGAATGAATCTTTTTTGTGTTCCTTATCGTCAGGACAAGGTTTGTATTTAAGTAAATTTATAAAAATATATAATTTAGAGAAAACGGGTATTTGCGGTACGAAATTCGCCGGGTCAACTAGTTTATAATAAACCATAGACATAGACAACATTACGTCAACTGTCAGTTGCGTTCTATTATCAGAATTCATTATAATCACAAGTTTTTTGAGTATATTATAATTATTATTATTGTTGATAAAATATTTAACACTTATTTTTCCATTTCCAATGAAGATAATTCCAAATATATATATATAGACTAGCTGTAACCCGCAACTTCGCCCATGTGGCCCAAAAGTACCGTGTGTAGACTTTTCGCCCATGTGGTCCAAAAGTACCGTGACCTGCTATACTAGAGTCTTAAGTTAACTTAGTGGAGACATCGAGCAGTGAGGAATGGTCAGAGGCACACGAACTCTGTAAAACAAGAAGCCTAGTCTGGTTCACAGATGGCTCCAAAATGGGTCATAATGTAGGATGTGGAATATATGGTGTAAGACCGAAATTCAACAAAAGTGTGAATCTTGGGATAAACGCTACTATTTTCCAGGTGGAAGTATACGCCATTTTAGAATGTGTGGATGCTAACCGCCAACAAAACTACATAAATCAAACCATTTACATATACTCTGATAGTCAAGCAGCACTCAATGCCATACATTCGAGCGTGATAAATTCGAAACTGGTAAAGGACTGTATTGACAGATTGAATGAACTGGGGCAAAAGAATAAAATTATTCTTAAATGGGTACCAGGACACTCGGGCATCATCGGCAATGAAAAAGCGGATGAATTAGCAAGGGCTGGAGCACAGGGACTACAAATAGGACCAGATTCCTTTTGCGGTATCCCTAAAAACCATGTGATGCAAATTCTAAAAAATGACCTGCAAAGGGATTAAAAAAAATACTGGCAAAAACAGCCGGGATTAAATCACGCTAAATCCCTAATTGAAGGTCATTCACAAAAACTAGCTGAAGAGCTCTTGAAGCTAAAGAGAGCAAATAAAAGCTCAATTGTACGAGCCTTATCTGGACACTGCAAATTAAACAGACACCTATTTAACATGAAACTAAGTGACACTGACATTTGCAGATATTGCAAACAGGAACGTGAAACACCAAAACAAGTCTTGTGTGAATGTGGACCACTAATCCACAAACGAAGCATACATCTGGGACGACACATAATCAGCCCAGAAGATATAAAATCTCTAAAAGCCAGGAATATAATAGACTTTTTGAAGTCTACCGGGCTAAAGGAGTTACTATAGATCTGGCGGCGAGTCACAATAGATCTTCAAGGTCGCAGTGACTACAGTTCCTCAGGGAACTGCATAGCCCCTTAGAGCAATAAATAATAAAATAATAATAGCATCCACCTTTATATCATCATAATTAGCTTATCAACGTCTCCACTGCTGGGTGCTGTCCGTCCAATAGATGGAACAAATTATGGAAAATCTACCGATGTTTATGTGTATAACCCGCATGTCTTTATGGAATAGTCCAGTTATTCCTGTTTTGCAAAAAATACAAACAAATGTTTTCTTTGAAAAAAATAGTCCTTTTATTGAATAATTACTCCGTCATTTTACTTGGGTCTAGTCTATTATATTGACTACCTACCTTATTCAGGACTTTCAGAGAAAGGCTTTCATTATAAGGGTTTAAAGAGCCTGATAATATTACTTATGCAAGATTCTACGCTTGATCTTCATAGTAACGGTCGGTCGTCAATTGTTGTTGACAGTCAGCTTCTTCTTACTTTCTCATTTTAGCATTTTCAGAAATTTTAGTGCGTGGTATCAAATTATATTTTACTAACGGTAATCTGCCATCTCTTCAATTTGTTGGTATCAAAGAATCTAGTTTAGTCCACTCAGTATTTTTTCGCCTAATTTATTATTTAATTCTAATACTTTGAAATTAAATTACTTTTTAGATAAAACTTATTCCTATCATTAGTAGCTCATTTCAAATATTTTATGACTTTTAGTTAATTATAATTATTGTCAGTTTAGCACATTTTATATTAAATACAATTTAATATGCCTCGGTTAAGTATGCTATTGAATACTCGTTAATAGTCACCCATATATTATTTTGATGCCTCATGAATAATTCTTCATTAAAATATATAGTAGGGGAGCCCACGATGCTAAATCGGGATTTACTCGAGCGTCATAGAGACCTATTGGGTTGCGAAGCTTAGATGATAACAAAAAAAAATTTTGAAATTTTCGAGTTAAATGGTAGAGGCTGACTATTACTTGTAAACTTGTACAGTGCTATTAATAAACAAGTCTAGTCAAAGTTTAGCGTCAAAGTTACCTAATTTACGATAAAATTCAATTTTAGTATTAGGCCAAATTCATTATATTTAGAGATTAAGCAAACCTACCTAGGATTAAATATTACTCCCGTAAAACCTCGTACGTACCTTTGCTAAGTCTCTGTTTAATAATATGAATTTTGATTAATACCAATTGCAGCTTCAGCGTCAATTTACGCCAAACCTTGTTTATAAATAGCACTGGTAAATTTTAAATTTAATAGATACCGATTGGAATTATTCCAATTAGTATGATAAATATACATTTTTCACCTCCTTGACGTTCACTGTTTTTCTCATACATAAATATTATCATGCTTACTTTTCAATTTTTTTAACATCACCATTTACTAGGGTGACTAAAGGTGTGACTTTCTACTGCTTCTACACTGATTATTTGACACAGAAGTTTAAAGCCACGTTCAAGTCATATACGGTCAGTTGCACAAACGTCCATTAAAATATTAATTACTTTAAAGCGACATTATCCATACAAATTTGACATTCATTAGAGCTTAATGGCGTCATTAAACCTTAATGGACGTTTGTGCAACTGACCGATAATCACTTATGTCATCCATTTCATTTCAATATGTCAAAACCAAAGTAATATCTCCAAATAAAATATTTAAATCTTATAACAGGTGTTTGTAAAGGATGAAGTAGCAATGAGATGGTTCCTGGTGACTGGGTGGGGTTTGCCCTTGATGATCGTCGGCGTCTACACGATAGCCCGCTTCTTCACCCCTGGAGCAACAGTTCGGTTAGTATATTTTTTTGCTCACAAATTTAGATATAGCCAAATGAACAATGTTGCATAGATTATTAGCGGTTGGAATTTAGCCTGCAGGCTTACCTCATCATTACAGTCATGTCCTCACTGCTGAGACATGGTCCATCACCCACCAGGTCCAGTGCGGATTGATGGTTTGATAGAACGTACCTAAGATGGTGGTGTATCTCGACAACTGCCATGCTTTTGCCCAAACAGAATGCCTTTAAGCACTTACCCTGACGTGACAACAGGTTATTTGTGGGACTCTTCTCCGCTAATGGACCTACTCAATAATATGACTACCGAGCAGGCTCTTCGAAAGTCGCTTAGTTTCGGCATCGCAGACCATCGATCTCCTCACCTACCGCATTGTCTTGACTTCGTACCTGTATCTAACAAAGACAGTATTGGATAAGCCGATACTAAACAGATCGAAGTCAAAGTAGTTCGGCGGTTCATTTTGTGGTACCTAGAAAATAAGTTATTAAGGTAGCGCAGTAGTTCGGAGCATATTGAATACAAACGAAGAATGAAATTTTATATAATTTATAAAACTTTTCACATTAGTATTGTTATAGCTAATAATGTTGCTGTTACATCAAATTATTTTCACTGTTATAAAATTCATTTAGAATTTATAGTAAATTGATTTATAAGTCCAAATTCGTCAGTCATGTAATTACACAAAAAAATGCCTACGTCAACAAAGTTTTAGAAGCTGTTGCAGCATCATGTTGATAAACAAAAAAGGATTCTTGCCCTAACGCGTAAACTGCTAATTTTCTGGATTTCCTGAACGATATTAATACTGGTAGATATTTTCCGTGCTTGTTCCTTCTTCATAACTTTTGTCTTCATTATATTTAAAAACTCATTTGAGATATTTACATATTGTTTGGCCCGTGTTTTTACTTGTAGCAAATGTTAGCGGTATGATACCTAACATTAGCAAAATTAAGGGCGATTTTTTTATATTTCCACAATGCCATCTACCTCAATTAAAGGAACAAAGAGTTCCAATACAAGACATGTATGTGTTTAGTTCGAATTCAAATCACAATTGATGACATTTCGTCCTAAAGAAACAAAATAAATTAGTTATCATCTTCACTAAATTATAATGAAGAAAGATTAGATTATTTGTTTGCATCGAATAGGCCCGATTGTACTGGACCGATTTTATAAATTCTTTCACCTTCGGATAGCTTTATCATACACGGGTGACATAGTTTAAGGGCTATATGATTTATGTGTATAACTGCTAGTTACTAATATAATTAAAGATCGTCTTAATAGGTTTTTACTTTTAATTATGTGCGACTTTGGGCAAGGCCGTTAGTAATTATTATATAATTGAATAATATACTTTTATCAACCGATTTACGAGTATGTAGTCGATTGCCGATACCATTGCATAATGAAAGTTATGATCATGCGCAGTATAAAGATACTATCAATGAAAAGCCGATCTTGATTAAGATTATCAAATATATCATAATGATGATAAAGATGACAATCTGCAAGTAATAAGAGGCTATTGCTTTAATTTATCAAAAGGGTATTCTAAAATCGTCTGAAATTTAAAGGAGAACAAATAATTTGTAACAAAAATGAGTTTCATCCATAAATATGTTTGTTCTAGGTGCTGGATGGAGCAGAGTGACACATTCTGGATTATAATTATTCCTGTCCTGATTTCATTGTTTGCTTCATTCGGTAGGTACTGTTGGATTAATAAAAATGTATATTGATAGCTTTGAATCAAAGATTAATAAAAATAAGATTGTAATTTCCATAGATAACACGGATAACATTGTGATAGCAACACACGTCTATGATATGGCATAGTCATCTATGCAATATTATATTATAATACGTAGTATAATTACAATAGATATAAAGAATATTATTTTTTCGTAAAGATGTTTCGCACACTTAAATAAAAATACTTATAAACTACTCTAATGAAGAGCAATTTTTGTATGTAATTTTGAGTGTTTTATTTTAGAACTTTGTAACCTTAAGGATGGGTACAAAAACAAAAGACTGTTTTACCTCATTGTACTTTACATTGAGATTACAAAAGATACAGAAGAGATACATTGAGATAGATAAGGAAAGACAATGGCGGATTACGCGTCAAAAACTATTTTTCATTAACTACTCGCAAAGCATTATGATTATTGTAAAAGTTCCCCGTAAAGCATTTAGCTACAAAGTGACTCGATTAATATATTATTAATTTTCCCTAGAACAAAAGAGTGCAATTATAAGAAGAAATATAAGAATATTCTTAATTTTAAATTAATTTTCTTTTTATCAAGAAACCTTTATTAATTTCTGTTCCCATTTGACCGTATTGTTATTTCTGTGTAATTTGTAATCGGTACCTTACATAATTTCCGTTTGGTACAAGATTGACTACTTATTCTAGTACAGACACCAATTTCTAACATAGATTACTTTATTATACCGATTATTTAGCTAGTAAGATGTTATCATATAGTGATGTCTCTGTGAGAGAACAAATAAATTCTTACATAATTTGACACGTCCTCTTGATCAACTCTTATCTCTGATTATTACCTTATGATGACGATAATGTTTAAACTACAGATATTATAATATTAGCCATGACTAATTTCCTAAACATCATGTAAAACTATCCCAAATCTGTTGCATTATGCCAGCCTTCTAAATAGCGTTTCTACAACAACGCTTCCATTATGGTACGCGCCTTTTTTCTTAAGTGATCGTTTAAGTATATTAAATGCTTATGTATAGGTTTACTATCAGTAGATATATTATTATGTGATATTTCTATTTATTTGGATATCATCATTAAAACTTTTTTAACAACGACTATTGTAACGTGTAAACTACAGAAACCGTTTTCTATGAATAGATTGTTCGCTAGTAATCTTTAAATACAATGTGGATTATCGAGACAGTATATACCTTAACCATCATAGTTTTATGAAACCGCTTAGAATAAGATCCCAGAGCCATCAGACATCATTTACTTCCTGATGGACTAAATATTCTGAATATTAGTATATACTTAGATCATATGGATATCTAGCTTGCTTGGTAAGACATGAAATTTAATAATTATTCATCCTTTTTATATTTTGATGATATATTTTAAGTATATAATAGAAAATAATTGTTAAGAGTCAAATATCAGTAGGTACTCTTAAACATTTCCCGTCGACGGTAACTGGATTAAAGTTCACAAATTTTATCTTACTTATATTGCGATGCTCAGTTTTTATTTGATTGACTTTATTTAATAACTAAATTCCCATATCCACCTTTTCCCTAATCAGAATCTGGACATTATCTTGAACCAGTGCCCTTGAAGCTAGCACAAACTCTATGTGATTGTCTCGTTTAATTACGAAGTTCCAATTACTACCTTCCGGCTCTATTATCAATATGGCAAATCATCAAAGTTGCAGAATGTCAGCTCATTTGAATTCGGGGAAGTTAGTCCTCAGTGTGCAAGATTTGACTCAAACGAGCGCTCAAACTAAATAAGAGACACAAAAGGCTTATAATTTTTAACTTTGATTATAAGCAAACCCATTTAACGATAATAACGACGACGAGAAAGAACTTTGTCACGGTAATTGTGGATATGGAGAAAATGCAGAATACTTATAGTATCCTACGCCTAGACTATTACAAATATTAATTCACGAATTTTCTAGTATCATACGCTTCTGATATGATATCGAAGTTGAGTTATTGTTCTTGATTTCAGTAACAATTTATATTTTATCTAATAATACATTTATTTACATACGTATAATAAAAATATGGTGGTGTGGTATGACACATGTTTATTATTATAACTCTAATCAGTTAAATAAACTTATAGAAGCTACAAATTCCACGGTACCCGGTGTCCGAACTAATTCAGTGTCCCATTACTAACAATATAGTTAATCAAGGGAAAAAGGAAAAAGCTCTTGTTACCAACAAACAATTTGTTTTTCAATACGAGACAATAAAGTACCTACAATAAGATCCTGTCTGTATTTGTATAGTCCTTATGTATAGATACTTTACAACATTTATTGCATAGCTGTATATAGGGAAAACCGAGAGGTTTTAAAAAAGGGGTGAGTTAACACAACCATGACTTCTTTGAATTTAAAAACCACCCACCGTAAACAATCGAATCATATATGTTATGTAATTTTACGTATAGTAAAAGAATACAATCAAGGGAAACCTAAAAAAAAACGGTAAACTTTAGTTTATCACACTTAATAATGTCACTTTCACTGCTCTTACTTATGTAATGATATCTCATTTTTATTTTCTGTTTTCGACGTTGCTTTTTTGTATCTAGACAATTAAAAATAATCAATTTTTGGTGAAGATATACGCTTTCCTAAGTATCAAATACATAATAACAAGTAGTGTAGTATTCGTACCTATTCTAACCCAATTAATATTATATAATTGCCCAGTCGCAAAAACGTCCATGAAACTCTTATGATGACTTTAAGCTCTAACGAATGTTCTAAATTTGAAGATTTGTATCGGTTATGTGTAATTAAATTAATGTAAATTTTAATTGACGTTCGTGCAACTGGCTGTATGTCAATAAGGTGTCTTTTGCAGTATTCCTCATAAACGTTGTGCGTGTATTACTGACGAAACTGCATCCCGTTCCAAATCAACAAGCAACTGCAGCTATGAAGAAAGCTGCCCGAGCCACACTTATTTTGGTAAGTGTAAAAAATTATATTATTACTAAAGTTACATCATTATCATTTTACTATTAAAAATGTTGAGGGAGAGGGGAGAAATATATTATTATAAGCGATGTTTTTGGAACTTCATAGGAGAGCATTCCAAAGTTCAAATTTCCAAAGTTCAAAATTTCGGAAAAAAAAATTAAGTTGTTTTTCGTAATATAATGTAGTGCAATTTTCATTTTAAAAAAAGCTGTTATTGACATAAATATTTCTCGCCTAGTACAAAATGACCTCAAATCATTTTTGTTTAAAAACAGACAAAATTATTCAAGCTGTATCAACCGTGAATTACCTATAGGCTCAGGAAAGAAAAACAATTTAAGCGAAACTCGGATATTGTTTTAGCTTATACTCCATTCATTATAGCATTAGACAGAAGTGAAATAAGGTTCTTTTTATGGTATACTTTGTGACAAAATATCAATAATCATGTTACTTTTAAGACTGACGGCTAATTTGCTACATATTCACTTAAATATCAGCTACTATACTTAACTGTTGTTATTTAAGCTAACTATTAAACAAATTTATGAGTATATGACTAATTTAAATGATTTAATAAGTATTACAATAAAAAGTGTCCATCGTAAAGAACCTAAAGAAGCAGGGTTGGATAGTTTCGGCACGATTCTCATGTCACTATAACTCTACCAAATTTAAAACGTTGCCTAACTCCTTCAAGCGTTTCGGTAGTACAGCTTTTTAATTTTGTCAGACTATTATTTATTAATAATTGTTAAAATCATTATCTGGGATTGTCATCCATTGTGAATGCTACTGCTTTTCTTGTTGTTTAGCCGTTTTCCGTGATGTTATTGTTTTGTTTTTGTTGTTAAGTTTTGGTAAATATGGACGATGTCGGTACAGGCCCGAGTGGCCAACAAAAATTACGCTCTAGGCCCCCATACCTATCCTCAAACTTTGACATTTCAGGGAGTTTTTTCAATGTCTTCATCAATAGTCTAACTTATTACACTTACAATTAGAATTTATCAAAACACACAGATAGTTTCAGTTTTAGTTCCATGTTGGCTTGGGACTAAAAGATGAATTTATAAAATGCTGGCCTCATCTCAACCCCGAGGTATTATAAAAAATGGAAAATTGCCCAACTCTTTCAGACTACCTAACGTTCATAGTCTCAACAAAACTAATATAGATTTTTTAATTTTATCTTGAAAATGAAATGTTCTGCACTGCTGCTTCTATGACCCTCTTTTCTAATGCTATAGTGAATGGAGTATTGTGTATGACTATTTCGCTTAAGCACCTGTAGTATATAAATAGGTAATCAAAATATAGGGCTGAAAAAGTCCATTCATTCTTTGTATGTATTAAAATGATCAACGAATAGAAAAACATAATTTTAATAAATTTGCAAGTCCGAAGTATCGGAATAAAGTGTCAATTTCATTCCAAATAAATTTCACGCAAAATAAATAGTTTAAGCAATATTAAGTATAGATTTGAGGTTCAAACAAAATTATTGAAACGAACTGAATTAATGTCAGGAAAAACAGTTTAATCAAAAACACATTTTGTCCGTATGATAATTATTTCCTCTTAAATTGAAATTTCCGGATGGAATTTCCAAAACACAATCCGTAATAGACCTTATATAATATATTAAGGAAAAAGTAACGAAGGGTTAATTTTTCCTTAACATATTAAGACTTTACGCTGTCTCTAAGTTGATCATATAGCGACATTTCTGTTTCATACGAGTTCAATATTAATACTCTTTTGCTCACTTTTACTTAATAAATAGAATAGAGTAACTGCATCTCTAAATGTTGTGGGAGAAAATTTTATTTGATTAAAGTTGCAACATTATGCTGGTGGCGTGGTGTCATCGTTATTTCTAATTTTCATGAGAGCTTTTGCTGTTATACTTCGAAATTAGCGCAATACAATTAAAGTTTTGGCTACCGCTAATATATTTTATCAATAATATTTTCCAGTAATCATAATAATGTAATTGGAGCTTTAATAGCGCAGTGGTGGGTAAACAAAATATAGCATCTTTTGAGAGACGCGATTGCTCCTCCGTGAACCGAAAGGAGGCCACCTGGGTCATAGCTTTCATCTCAATTCGATTCCTTAATAGGGAAAGGTTTTTTTGTCGTAGGGAAAATGCTTTCAGCATATCTCACCTGGCGATCGGCGAGGTCATGATGGGCTCCTCTCTGTGGGTCGATTTTGCAAATACCCAGTGGGGTATTTGCTAAATGGACTCACTGAGGGCTACCCACTAAAAACCCCACAGTGTAGGATACACATGGGGGATGAGAACCGGGAAGACGTAACCAAGTCATCAGGACATAATCGAAAAAACCCGTAGCCCCAACCGTGACGACGTTAATATGATGATGATATACTTGTTTGTCCTCGAATGAAAATTTCGAATTTTTCTTATAATTTTATTGAAAATTATAAGAACTATCTATGCATCAGAGGCATTGTCAATGTTAATTCGTACGATTAATTGTTAATTTAGAAATGGCTATAAATTTTAGCTATTACGTCGTCATGCTTCTAAATGTGGGAGAAATTTCATGTGCTTTGTTAATTCGGGTAAGTTTAATCTGCACATATTCATGTGGTATGGTAGTGTCTGTCATTTGTCAGTTCAAAGAAGTCCGGAAGGTTGTATCATGTTAGCATTTGATGGTGACATTTTTAGATACTGTTAATGTGAAAGCATTTAATTAACAAGACTGATTATTAGGGACGGGAACAAGTATATAATCAAAGGAACAGAAGATCTTAAAAGTGATATTATTAGCGCTATTCATTTATATTAATAGATACGTAAGACAAAAGTTATCTCTTGAATAAAAATGACAAGTCTTGGGCTCCCAATTGTGTGTGCAAATCGTGTGTGGAATATTTATGATTACAAAAAAGTGGTAAAATAAGTGCCTTTAAATTTGGAACACCAACCATTTGGCGAGAATCACAAAATTTGTTGCTTTATTACTTTTGAGACTGTTATTTTTGAAGTGTGAATATAAACGGTTTAAACACTTAAAATCGAGCTAAATGGCGGTACGCAAGTACTAGTTTAGCATTCGCAGCCGTATTTACCTGACGTTTCAGTATCTGAAAATATATCTGAACCCTTATAATAAGACAATGAAACACCAAGTTCATCACAAAATGATGCTGATTTTGAGGTTATATCAAATGAACCAAAATTATTTTCTCAATATGAGTTAGATGATCTTATTAGAGACTTAAATCTTTCTAAACAAACTTCAGAATCAAGATATTTACTTTACGATTTTACTTTACTTACTTAGAAAGTTAGTTTCCTCAGTTTCCTCAGGAACAAAAATAGCTTGTTATAGTGAAAGAGAAAATAAATTACGATGTTTTTTCCGAAGTATAAGATATTACCTTTTGTTCAGATATTAAAAACTTGTTGATAAAAATGGGCTTGAAACAGAAAAGTCAGAGTGCTGTATATTACCACTGAAAATTTTTGAACGAAAAAACTGCCTAGTTATAATCTCAATTGGGATTCATTTTATCGTGAAAATCAAGTAAAAATACTAAACACAATCTTAAATTTCTACATAAATAGATAATAAACATCCTGTTGTTATAGTCCTCATTGCATATATCATTATAGAGTTATAAATTATTGTGTGAACAATATCTAAATTAATGAATACTAATTTATACATAAAATGAGAGATGAATATAAATGCTCACTCGCGTTCACGCTTTTAATCCTTTGTGTGTTATCTTAATTAAATTGATACGATATACGTGTCTTTATGATGTTACGTTAGTACACAAAAACAATAACGCGGTCGGAAGGTAGGACGCAGAGGGAAATGCGCGAAGTTAGGATGGTCATAATACTAACTTATTTTATTTCTTTACTAGGGCCGTAAGCGGCTCGCCCTCGTGGTCCTGTATTATTCATATAATTGTCCTTGAATCGCTCTTTATATTAATCCTAAAAATACATTTAGGTATTGAGGATTGTAATATTCAATAGCTGCAAGTACGTATTGTGAAATTTCTCTTCAACACCATTAGCCTTTTAATAACCCCACTGATGGGACTCCTGTGTGGATGGAATCGAATCGATTCGAATAGGGGGAATTAGGCATCAACGCAAGCCTAGTGCTGACTGGTGGGTGGTGGGTTTTTGTAAAAAAAATATATCTCGAGTTTAGATATAGATATAGAGAGATACAGAATCTATATAGAGTCGAGTTTAGACAAAAAAAATACATACATTTATCATGATTATATTTGTTAAAAATAAATATTATAAAGAGGTAAAGCTTTTTTACTTTGTTTGTTTGTAGGAGATAGTCTTCAGAAATACTAATAATAAGTTATAATTTACGTGGGCAAATTCGTGGGAATACAGCTAGTATCTGATAAGTGTATACATATGCTATATTGGCTATAATGCTATATTGGTATTTATCTTTTAACTATCAAAGATCTTACTTTCGCTCAAAGAGATTTAAATAGGCATATAGTTTAATGTATTTCCTTTCATTACTAGTGAACATAGCGAAGCAAATGGAGGAATTCATCAGTCTCGCTGAAATGTCGGGTAGCTCATTAGTTAGAACAGTCGTCCGGATCGCGAAAGTTTACAGTTTCAACTCTGGCACATGGGACTGGATATTTTTCTATAAGACACATACACACAGAAGAATATAACTACGTAAAGAAGTAGAAAATAAATTATTTTCGGAGGTAACTGTTATGTTTTCGTCCAGAGACAATTTTAAAAATTCTCGTTTTAAACCTAACTACTTAAGACATATAATACAATATTCTTATTTATAAATTTCGGATTATTTGTACCTTATTCTTTTGTTGGTGATCAATTTTGAATTAATAATAATAATTTTCTAAATGCGATGAGCGCGTCGGAGCATGACACCTATAATAAGAAGGACATTACCGCTGAAGTGAAAATGTCATAACTCGTTCAACCGGCACTCTGACAAAACCTTTTTAAGCAAATGCTTTTTCATGATGTCACGCTACTTCATATGTGAAAAGGCTCTTGAAAATTCCCTATTTTATTTTGACACTGACGTTTTATATGTTTATTTAGTAAACGCTACCCTTCTTCGTTTTATAGTCAATAAAAAGAACCTCAAGTGACTAAGACATAATATGCCCATTTATCTTTACAAGTATCTTACTTACATGCATAAAATAATTTACGAGGCCTTGAATATATTTTGTTGTTACGTTGATAGTCAATACGTCAGTGATGTCTTTTTACGCAAATCAATATAATTGTATCGATAATGATAATTTTCTTATAATTATCAAGCATGTGAAATTACGGTGATATTGACAAAATGGTTGAAATCACTCATATGCGAAGAAGCTAAGCTTCTTGCGCGTACATTAATCGAAACAATACACTCTCTATAGTTATATATCACTAATTTATATCTATACTAGCTGTCCGCCAACGGCTTCACCCGGTGGTCCCTAGGGAACTGTTTATTTGGATATCAATACATACCACGACAAGGATATAATAAATATATATATATATATATATATATTAACGTTTTAGTTGGGTTTTATTTGATTGAAGCTCTACCTGCTATGACAACATTACTCTCAACGCGATACACTGCACTGCTACCTATATCATATTCAGATATCGAATCTGAATATCAAAACTTGCAATGTATTTAGCAATAATCATATATTTTCTGTACAGATTCCACTATTTGGACTCCACTTCGTCTTAATACCACTTGTACCAAAAACAAACACACCGGGGGAGTGGATCTATCAAGTCGTCTCAGCCTTACTCACAAGTTTGCAGGTAAGATAAACAAATAATTTAAGTCCCCTATTTAAAATGTCCGTATCTAACAGAATGCCTACAGAAAAGTAAATGAAAAATATGACTTGTTTTGTCTACACTATTTCTTTTACAAATTCGAAGACAACAAAAATACCTTAATTAATGCTCTAGTAATAGTTTTTTTTTAAGGTATTGAGACCTTGTTTGTTAAAGGTATTGAGACATTGTTAATTTACATAAAACAAAAAGTAAAGATGCTACTTTCGATAATCTTAAACTATATTACGATGCGCCCAGCTATATCAAGATGTGCCCAAGTGATTAGTTGAGAAAATCGACAAATACGTTGCTCTCGTGCCAAACTTTTCATCATACATATCAAGAAATGGCAGGATATCGTGATATGCCCGGGCAGATCTCGATCGGCCCAATTCAACAATTGGTCCACGACATATCCACAACACTTCAATCTATTTTACAATTCATAGTGACAACCCATAAATAACAGGTAAATTATAGAACCACCTCCGCTGGACCCGACGACGACGTGAACTTAATCTAATAAAAATATGCGTTCATTGTAAAATACTCGAGGCTTAATTACATCATCGGAAGGCTCTTTCCGCTTCTTACCACATACCACATGTCCATTATAAGCTGAACCCTATTTAATATGATTGGCCATATATAAATAAGGTCAACTTACTTCGGAGCTGTCAAAATTTTGGAATCTTATTTTTTTATTTGTCATCATACAAATTATCATTTTATAGACAATATTAATTCAGAGCTCGGTGGCGCTACGAATATGCGCCGCTGCGCACGATCGCTATTGCTAAGCAATTTTTGCAAGAGTTGTTAACGGGATGGGTGACCAAAAATTATTAAACAAAGGCCTGAGGCCCTGCAGTTTGGCTGTGAAAGAGTTAGTGATGATGAACAATATATCAAAGACGAAAATTTAATAAAACAGTAAATATTTCATAACAATTTTGGCGACCACGTCACTTCAAATTGACATAACTTTTTTATTTGTGAAACGATTGAAATAAATCTTACACTAAATGTTAACGGAAGAATGCCGCAATATAATAGTGAAAACTGCATTTAAATCGGTTTAGCCGTTTCTGAGATTATCGTGCACAAACGCACAGACAAACAGACAAAAAATTTAATAATCATTGTTTTGTGTTCTATTACGCTTATAAATGTCCCTTATAACAGTTTTTTTCATCGATCGGTTACGTTTTTATTATAGTATAGATATAAAATAAGATTAATTTATTCAAACGTGTCTCAGATATTCCTATGTCATTTCACTTATGCCACGAAATGTTATTACCAATTTAAAGTTGAGGGGATATCGCTTGAAGTGAATTCAGATACCTGAGTGAATTCGAATTTGGATTTGGATTTTTACAGATTCGAAGGGCTGAAGAGAAGTCATAAATACTGACGAGCGTGTATGAAAAAGCTATAAATGTCAAAAAGTCAAAGTAGTGTCTATCTTAGAGAAACTTAAATAATAATGATAGTCTTAGTCTAATATCACTACAGCATTAGACAGCTGTTAATTAAAGTTCTTTCGAGGGTATATTTTGTACCAAAATATCAATAGTTATGTTACTGTTAAATATACTATATATTAATTTATTTACCCGCTATCATACTTAACTGCCATCGTTTTAGCAATCTATCAAATAAATTTAGGAGCATTTGATTAAAATAAATGCCATTGATATAAAAAGTGTCTTTCTTTAAGAACATAAAGAAGCAGGGGTGGATAGTTTCGGTAAGTTTATCGTTTCACTATAACTCTACCGGTTTTAAAAGTTCCCAAATCCCGTCATAAGTTTCCACATTACAGCTTTTTAATTTTGTCAAATTATGATATATTTGTCTTATTTGTGAAAATAGGTAATCTGTGAATGGTACTATCTGTTGTTTTTAATATTTTCCATGATTAAGTTGTAATAGTTGTTTTAGGTTTATAAAAAAAATGTATTTTTATTATGATTTGTGAGTATTTTAAATAAAATTTACGAATTTGATTATCTATTCTATTAATTCTGCATAATTATTAAGGTTATCATTATACATTGTACTAAATGAAGGAAATAACAGTAAAAATGCCTAAATAATAAGATATGAGCTTGACTTTTCAATTCACTCTATGATTTTAAGTTGTTAATGTATCAAAGATAAACAGAAAGTGCCAGCCCGAACTCAACGCCTGGTGCGTAAAGAAGGGAAATTGCCCGGCTCTTTCAGATTCGATATTAAACAATAATAATAATAACACCTAAAGATATAAAAATAGTATTGTAATGGAAAAAGCTTAAACAACTGTATTTAAAAGGGGGAGTATTGGCAAAATTGAGATAGATGAACTGTAAAAACACATGTTGAAAAATTTGCTAAGCAGGAATGTTCAACCCTAAATCACTTATTTCCAATTGGTGTTGTACAAAGAAATAACTATTGTTATATTATGAAGGTAAAATAACAGCCAAATAAGTTTTGATTAAAAACGAAAAATCTATATATTTATTTATCCTATTATTCATAATTAAATTGTAAACCATTGAATCTTAGACTTACATAATATTGGTTAAAATAATGTTTTATTTATTTATTAGTAATTCTAATGGTTACGTCTCAGGCAAAAATTTAAATTGAACAAATATAATAATAATATTGTTGAAGTTTTTAACAAAACCATCATAAATATTTAGCACTCCTATTTCTGTGATCCTCTTTTTTCTAATGTTATAATAAGTGGAGTATAGATATTAGCTAAGCGTAGGCTAGGATTATTCAGAAATAGATATTAAACTGATATTTGTGCTAAAAATCTATTAATCATATTTTTTTAAATTATAATAGGATCAAACCACGGCAGGGAAAGGTGGAACGCAGAGCACGAAGCAAATGCATTGAAATTGGTACGTAAAGACATTGCATTAGCGAATGTGCTCTGCGAATTATTTTTCTCTTTGTCAGGGTCTAAATTGGATAGACATATGTTGTTGCTTTTACATTTATCGTACCTAAAACAGAAAAGTAGAACTTGGATTTTATTAACTAAAAAATATATATTTAAATGTGTTAACAAATATTTGTTTAGGCTTATTCACAAAAGTTTTTGAAGAGTACAATTATAGAAGCTAAGGTGATCGTCTACTGTATTCACACGTATGCAAAAGGATATATACCTACTTAGTACGCAACTGGTTGTACGGATATGTTGAAGTCTTATCTTAACTTCATCTATTTGACGCTTTTGACATAACGCTGCTCGGTAGTGTATAATAGCTCTGTGGAAGTAATCCGTATAATATAATCGGTACGCATCACATACTCTTTGCTCATATTTCCGGTCCGTATGGCCTGTACAAAGCAAATCCGTTGCGTACCGTGAGTGAGTGTTGCGTGCGTGCTTATAAGTTAACCCCTCTCTTTATACTTCACATCCAATACTTATTCAGCATAATTTTCACAAAAACAGCTTAATTGAAATTAACCTCCTAAATTAAGTAATATAATTCAATAAGTCTGTCTGTAATCCCAATTTATACAATTAAATTTGTATAATGCAATCAGCAAGACCAAATATTCTAATTAAATCTAAAAATGAAACATAAACCGGAATTTTCCATTGGCAGTAATTGACAATGAATTCAGTGATGGCTTTTATCGATAGATTTTACCGCAATCCAAATTGCAAACCACTCGGTTGTAATTTGTCATCTAATCGCCACTCAAGACGCTATCAAGAAATTTAGCTTACATTTCAACCAGCGAAATAGCCCTATAAATTACCATTGTAAGAAATAAGTCTTATACTGGGTATATGGTAACACTATTTATATTTCTTTTACATATTCCAAACAACATACCTATATGGAAAATGAAACTTTTACGATAACGAACACTTTTAAGTACAAACCAACTTCGGGCTTTTCACTTTAAAAAATCTACTTCGGGCACGTACTTATAATAAACTTACTGTTGTTCATACATTTAAATAATAACGGTGGCAATTCTGTTGGTACAAACTAAACAGAAAAATAGTTTTAATCACGGCAAATTGCTATTTTTCGGTTCTGCGAACAAGATAACGAAATCCAACTAGTATAGTATACAAGTAGTATCTTAGATAACTTATGCTTACAGAATAACACAAACCCAAAATGTAATTAAGTTTTTTTAGTTTAGTTTAGAGTAAATATTAGCACCAATATATAGCCTTCAATTCCGTTCACATGGAATTTCATTATTCGTGCAAATTTCGTCGAAATTGTTGCTTAGCCCGACATGCCAATGTCAAGTCCATGGGATTTATATATCTACCTAGTTCCTGAGGTTTGGTGAATAATGAATCTGTCTGTGAGCGGAGTTGACTAATTATATTGACGTATGGTCCTATGTTTATATCAGGGATGTTAAGAAGCTCTGTAGCAGTATCCGTAACCAAAACTATCGGATATCTGAAATAAAAAAAATATTCATTACCGAAATAGATATAATTGACGCCCAAAACCTGCGTGTCCTTTGTATAATAGTTCATTATTTCTATTATTTTTTCGCCAATATGGATGATTTGATATTAATACTTAAAATTAATAAATTCCTAGTTATAATAATATTATTATCACAATGCAAATATTTAAAATATGACCGATATCATCTATTGTATCGGTAAACATGTATTTTTATTTAAATATTACGTCCCAAAACTTAAAGAGCAATACGATATGTTATCTTCAATTGCTTTTGTAGGTAGGTACATTAGAATAAACAATGGTACATATTTTAACACTAGATACTCTTGTATAAGTAAAGCAGTGTCATCAACCAAAACCACGCAGTAGACTATTTTTATACATTGATAAATTAATATCTAAAAAAATTGTCACTTTAAAATATGCCAATGTGTTATCAGAATTGAGGCAACGATGATTAATAGTAGTCAGTGTAAGTGAAGGTATATTGAACGTGCGTCTCGCGTCTGCATAATTAACAAATATATTGATATTTGTCATGGAAAAATGTTTTAAAATAGTATAATTTAAATAAGAATCGATTCAGTACTTTATGCTTCTTTATTCACTGCTACCCTATAAAATCTTTTTTTTTTCATTTAATTATGCGTGTTTTCTAACTAATTCGTTTGTTAAGGTAAAATATTTGTTTGGAAAGTCTCCAACATTGCATATTTATGGCTATTCTACAAACATAATTATTGTAACGGTACTAGAAAATTGACAAACATAAACTCAATAGCATTTGTTTATAAAAACCAAATGGTTTTTAAAAACCAATGGAGTGAAGGATTTCCTTATTTGGAAAATATTGGGGCCCCGAGGCTATAAAAAGAAAGCTAATGAAGAATACATTAAATATTAATAAATGCCTTTCAATATCTACTTAATATGACGTGATATAAGATTGACTTAGCGAGGAACAACAATTAATTTTTATATATTATAATGTAAATTAACAATGCGAAATATTACTCACTAACTACAAATGATTCCTGTACAACGTTAAAAATTATTGCCTTATATAGATTCGTTTGCTTACGCTTAGTACTCGTAATACATGTAAATTGTTGTGAACGGGGATCAGTTGTATAGCCGATTTCAAAACGTCTCGTCCGCTTTTTTAAATAATATCTAAATGCTAGATCATTTGTCCGCTCCGATATAAATATATACTGTACGGACAGTTTGGTGCGTGGACCGACTAATTTTTGGAGGATATGTCGTCGTTAGCTATGTTTTAATCTTACACTTCATGATATCCAATATGATACACTTAAATCAGAATTTGTATTTTTTCTTCAAACAAAACCGTTAAATGGTTTTAAATGTGTTATTTTAGGTAATTCTATAAAATAAAAACAAAACGAAAAAACCACATCAAAAACAATCTGTACATTTAGAACATGACGTGTATGGTTAAGACGTAGCTAATGATATAATGTGACATAAGAATTTGGAGGGCCATGCATAAAACACTCTTTCATAACTAAATCGTATACAAATCATGAAGTTACAATTTCGTGAATATAAATTATATTGGGAACTGGGATATTCAATTGTAAAGGCGGTAAAATATAATGTAACCATACCTATGCAACCTTCATTTTTCTTTCAGTTTAGAAAAAAAAAAAATCGTCGTTTTTAAAGATGTAACACTTCTTTATGTAAGTATAGTAATAATAATTGTAGCCACTTTTGTCACCAGGGCCTATGCGTGGCAGTGCTTTTCTGTTTCACTAACCACGACGTGATAATCGTACTAAAGGCGGCCACATCACGACTATTGAAAAGGAATGACGGCATCGTTATGACCGGTGAGTAAACCGTCGGGTACTTCTGCGTTGACGTCTTTGGTAATCCCAGGTTTTTCCCGTCTTCATTAAGTATAATTGAGCGGGAGAAAATATCTAGTTTAGCTTCATATATTTCGGAACCGAGGGCACTCATCTTAGGTCTACTATCAAAACAATCGTGATAATCTGACTTATTTGTCATTAATAATGTTAGATCTTTAGGCGTGAGTAAATATTACCTCTAGAGTTCGTGATACTTTTTTCTACAACAGTTCCCCCCGGTCTATACTGAAAGCTATCTCTAGATGCGCCTATGAGACAGTTTATTATTCTTTATTCTTGTAACCCCCCCGCAGCCTTAAATATTGCCAAGTTAGGCAACGGAATGTCGTTCGATTGTTGCGATTTTGTTTCTGGAGTATAGATTATTTGCTACTGACAGTTACACATCTATCTTTGTCTATCTATGCTTTCACGTCTGATCCTTTGCGGAGTAAACAGTGAGGACCGAGCGCCAGAAGGCCCGGTCTTCACCCGTCCCAAGGACTCCTGTAGGCGGTAAGCCTGTCACGCCCAGTTTATGGGTTCCGACCTGTAATTACTGTCCAATAGCTGTCGTTATATATTATATTTTTATAATCTTTCTCTTTTTAGATTGTTATACCTACCGTACCTATATGTTTCTGATATGTATGTTTTCATAAGTTACTGAATTGTTATCCAATAACTGTCATTATATATTTACTACATATTTTTAGTGTTTCTGTCGAGATTGTATTTGTTTATGATATCTATGTGTACTCATGAGTTAATTATTGTCCCGTAGGTAACTATCTTTATACTCTTATAAATATTTTGTCTGCAGTGGCGGATTAAGATTGATGACGCCTCGGATAAATGCCTCGTCGGCAATCCTCATTATTGTCACTTACAAACATTTTTGGAACTAATTTATATTTGTCTTTTTTCTTTAGATTTATTAAATGCCAAAACGCTATATTTCCTTGTCAATTAGAACTGCGAAAAACAATAATGAGAAAAGAATGAAATAATAATAGCGTATAGCGTTTCATTATCTCATGCAAAAGATACCGAATAAAAATCTAATAGTGCATGAAGCCAACAGCGCGTCAGACTATACGAAACTGCCAAATTTCTCCACTTGATTTAAAAACCTTCATGCATTGTTGGTTACGTTCAAAATCAATTGGAAAATTTAACATATTACGATCACTTGACATGCAGCCATGTGTATTTACTGATTAGGGTGTTTTTGTCCAATCAGGTAATGCGAAACAAATAATTAAACGCAATTAGGCACATGCCTTATTTACCTAGAGGATAATCCGCCACTGCCTCTCTAGATTACCGTATTTATTTTCAATTTCTTTGGGTGTGATCAGTGACGGCATGAAATACACTGTGATATAGAACTTTCTTTTTTTATTAATTATACTTATTTATATATTTCAGGTATAACGGCCGGCGAAAGTTTGATGAATACAAGAGAAAACGTCATCTAAACGTACTTAGAAACATTTAATCTCAACTATTTGATAAAAGTTACTTTGACAGGATCGTACCGGACAGGGCAGGGAAGGGCAGCCCTCGAAGCATGAACGCCGCATATCACATGACATGTAATAAAATTTGTCGCGCATATTCGGTCGATAAGACCACTAAGCCAGCTGCCTGTTGACGCTTAAAGTTGACAGTCCAGGAGCTCCGATTTGCCTCTTCCTGACTCAGAACCCTGATTTGCTATTCTGGCCAAGAGACTGGATAAGGTTTTGGGCCTCATTCTTTCCAACTAAGTTTTATACTTATAAAGTACAATTTTGTGTGTAAGTGTTTAGTCATTATGTATTTTTGCTGTTTGAATTATGAATATGTACTCACTGTTTATAAAACGGAATACATATATGTTGTCTTATATAAACACTTTTTGTTTTAATCTATTCTTCTTAATTCTTGTAATGTTTATTAAGACCATTTGTATAGAAATACTATTGTTATCGTTAAGTTAAAATATTAATTTAAGTTATCATTTAATGCTAAAGCGATGTATTGTAAAATGTCTATAAAGTTATTAATTCTTAATATATCGTTTTAAGTCTCTCCGTTAGCTTTACTCAACTAATAATTTTAAGTGATTAACTAATAAGTACGATCAATGTTCGGGCGGGAATTCGAAACACTTTCGATGATTCTACATCTACCTACTTATATATCTGAATCCGTTTTTAATGACTAAATAAATAATAACTTAAACAATACATAACCATTAAATTTTATTTATAAGCTATGTCAAATAAACAGTATGACAAATGTTTCATGCCCACCGATGGTATCGCTATGAATTTTAATAAATATTTTTATTGATAAGTTTTGTATTGTAAGTTTTTGCTTACCTCTAAAACGCTGCTTTCATTAATTCCTTGATTACAAATTAAAGTATTTATTAGAATTTAAAAACAACCAACGTGATATTATCATTTTTAGATACTAAAATATTTATGTCAATTATATCAATACAATAAATAATTTCTCCTTATCAGCGATATCTTGCAATCTTTGTGAAGAAGCAATTAGATGAAATGTTAAGCATTTTGTTAAGACTTTGTAACTTAAGAATCTAATACTTTATCTAGATAAACACAAAGTATTTAACAGTATCATGTTCCGCCACAGACTGCGTAGCTCGCTTCATATATACTACGTTTATCTATAATAGTCGCTACATACATAGGAATCAGATACGTATCGCGCTAAACATGTCCAAATTATAAATTGCCTACATTTTTAACCGACTTCAAAAAAAGGAGGAGGTCCTAAATTCGCCTGTACTTTTTTTCTGTTTGTTACCTCATAACTTTTACGAGGGTGGACCGATTTGATGATTCTCTCTTTATTTGAAAGCTAGTGCTTCCCATTTTAATTTGGCCCAGATCTGGCAATGGCATCTATGAGAAAACCATATAAGTATTAAATTAGCATTAAGTATGCGTGATGTTTGTTACCCCAAAACTCAAAATATCACGAAAAAAATGGAACTGACTTCAAATAAAAGAAAGTGATAAATAATACCTATCTTAAAAATAGGTATTATTTTAACTAAATATATAAGAAATATTTCACATTCATTGAAATTTTTCATTTGTTTATTTTCTTCATGATAAATCCATTCAAAATGTTTACTCAGTCTTGCCATATGTATAAGTTAGCCTTCATGAGATTTTTTTATTTTTTTAGATATTTGTTTGCTGGTGTTGAATCATGTATTTAATAATATGATAAATCAGCCAAGGGCGATTCTCACGCACGAACAATTCCGCACCACTCGCTGTAAAAATAATTCAAATCATGTGTGTACCTCTAAAATAGAAGCTCATTCATTTTATTCCATTTTTAATTTATTACTATCGCGCCAACAGAATTACATCATCTGTGATAATATCAACAGCCTAGCTGACACGGTTCACGAGATACAGCCTGATAACAGACACAAGGACTGCGAAGTCTTAGTAATAGAGTTCCGCAATTACTCAAAGAGTACGAAATTCTAAGTGATTTGCTCCAGGTTCTACTACATATATTTTTGTATTCTGCTTTTGAATATTGTTAACGCTTGTCCTCTCTTAAATCAGTGTTAGAATATCTTTGATAAGGAAGTATTTATAAATTAATATTTTTGTTATTGCAAGATTATGTAAGTTAATTAGTCTTTAAGTCTTTAGAAAAATGTTATAAGGAATGTCTTAAAACATTATGTATAATTGTCTACCGGATGAAGGGTAAATAAAGTATTACATACGTTCCTCAAAAGGTTTGGAAGTTTCATTTTAAAATTTCGCTTTTCATTCTTACTGATCTTTTCGAACCTGCTTAAATTGTTTTAACAGAATCTTAAAATAATCATAAAATAAATTGCAAAGCCTGTTGATGAAGGGTTGTTGATTTGAATCCAGCCTTCGACCGTTATTTTCCGATTACGCACATCGAAAGAAAAATACAGTACCTTCATAGTACTTGTTTGTCTGTCTATATGGCATAGCCCCGAACCCGATACGAGGAGGGGATGTCTGCTTCGTGTCACAGCTAATTTTCTCTCAAACGACTAGTCCGATTGAGTTAAAAGGACATCGCCAAAAATGACCCCAATACCAGCAAATATTAATACTTCGATAATAATTATTAATTCATTTATTAAATTGTTATCAAATATTTATTTGATAAGGAACGAGCTGCGTATTTAAATGTTCTTTAACAGAAACATATTTATTTACAAACATTCGCATTCAATATACACAAATTTTATTGAGTCAAATGGATGTAATTTACACGCCACAACAAAAAAAAACGACTTTTTTTTATTACGTTACCCTTAAATCATCGAACATAAAAACCGTAAATTGTTCGAAAATAAACAAGTATAAATGTCATTTCATATACTAAAAGCGTCATCTCTTGGTGGTTTTCCAAACTAAACATAACGACATCAACGCCATCTCGTGTACTTAGATCACCAAATTTTCTTGGTTTTCCAAAGTAAACATTAGTTTAAAACTAATTAATAAAATCCTAAAAACGACTTTGTTTCTATTATATTACTTTATATACATCGTAAAAATATTAATGTCATGGCATGTATGCATACATACTTAATGCATGACGTTTACTTTGTGATGTTTTTTTTAGGTCAGAGAAAGAGTCATCACCATCATCATCAGCCCTTTTTACGTCCCCACTGCAGGGACTCAGGCCTTCTTTATGGATGGTTAAGGAGGAGAGGAGAAACACAATTAACAAGTAAAACCTTAGTTACCGAGCAACTTCTTTCGTGTTTCCTTCACAACGAGACGTTGAATTTCTGTAAAATTATATCGGAAAAGGGCCACAAATAAAAAAAAAACAAACGTCGTTTAAGAAGCTTATAAGAAAATGCTTTGGTTGTAGTGAATACCCATCCAGGTTAGGTACAGTAATTTTATCGAAATATATTCGATTATGTAATCGTTAAATCACTCAAACTACGTCTAGGATTATGTAGTAAGATTAAATCTTTATTTCGTTCACGTAGGTGTGTAGGCGATTTTCTTTATTTAGATTGATCTTCTATTTTCACTAAAAGAAACTGCCTACTGCTTTATAAAGTCAACCATTATTTACTTTACAGAGTATCAACCTACGAGTATATTATCTCACGTCGGGGCGAAAGATTCGGATGTCGACCTAAATAATCCCGAAGACACCTTTTTTACTTACTCTAGTAAGCATAGGGCATCAATATAAATTGTGTTGTTAATAAATAAATAAATTTCGCTTTGCATGTTAAACCAAAATCCGCTTTGCATGTTAAACAAACAATTGTAAAACGCAAAAACAGGTTAATAAAACAAAAAAAAATGTGAGAATAAGAATGTTATTTCAACATAAAAATACTTAAAAAATACTCTCATAATTACAAAATTATCGACAGGCCGTTATCATAACATATCCACAGCTTTCAATAATAATGACTTATCGGATTACAAGCAACTCCATCATTTAAAAAACCCGACATGACTGATTAATATGACTACAGCAATAATAATAAGAGGTTTACTTATGATAGTAAATTTAATAACACTTGAAATACTGCACTGTTTTTATATACAAAAGATTTTTTTAAGATCCTTTCATTTGTCTTCCACTCATTAACAGTTAAATATACACTGTTACTCATAATTATCTAAGAAATTATGTATTATAAACTAAAATCTTAAGGGTAATGATATCAGTGGTAATCGCAAACTGACTTATATATTATTAACACGTATCAGTGACGTATCAGTACCGACAGATCCGTATTAATCTCTAATATCCGTATTATCGAGTAGCTCGGTGGCGTAATGGATAAACGCCGCGGCCCACGATCGTTGTCGTTAAGCAACTTTCGCAAGGGTCGGTCACGGGATGGGTGATCAAATAAAAAAAATATTATCTCGAGCTACTCCGTGCTTCAGAAGGCACGTTAAGACGTTGTTCAATTATATTTAGATCGCAATTATATATTTTATATATTTTTTTATATTCAAGAAATACTGAATACTGAAGCAAGCATCACTGTAGAGCCGATACCAACTTGTTCTGGAACCGATACATAACTGAAATGTGTGAATATATCCTTACAATCCACCAGTACCAGATTATTATGATCGATTATCACATTGTCTTAATACCCTCATAATAAGAAATTGTCAAAAAAAGTAATAACCTATTTTCAAAACGGAATTATTTAAAATAATTCTTACTAACTAATTAATAGAGTGACTAAATCTGATTAAAAAATTTGCTACGTAACCAAATTATGTACCTGTTGACCACTTTGTAATTTTAGGTGCACATTTATATGTGTTTGAAATAAACATTTCCTCTTTCAAAATAACATTCGATCAGATCTAATCTAATTGTCAATATAGCATGGATGCTGTCATGTCTCGAGTTACATTGCAAACATTCTACTTGAATACCACTATAATTGTTTACCCTGGAAGGACAACGCAATTACAATATTATTGGAGAGAATTTATAGCACCATTTTCTTATGCAACTAAATATGGTTTATTTTCTACATATTTTTCAATATATTTCTGTAACAGACTTAATCATATGTCATATAATAGGTGAATAAACATAATTTGAATTAAATGTTTAGAATGGATGTAGATCCCATAAACAAAACATTGAGACAGCCAACCGTAAAATTTGAGAAACGTGTTTGGTAGCAATTATGTTTCAGGTAAATTACCTACATACGATTTCATTTTAAGGTTCAATATATGTTGGTTTTATCCATACCGATTCGTTTTGTAATAGAAAAATTGGCTAAAAAAGCACTTAATTAAAGCCTCGAAACTGGCAGAAACCCTTGTTCCTCAATAAAATTACAATCTTCAAATTTAAAGTTTAGGCAAAGACTAAGTAGTTTTCTATATAAAAATTAAACTGTATAAAATCAATAAATAAACACATATTACAAATCACTAGTCATATTAAATTATATACAAACTTAATTGCTACAGAACTTAAGTTGTGGAGATTTATTAAAATTAATATTCCAGGCACTTTAACAACCTTTAAATATTATAACCGTCCTTTTCCCTGATAACGTGAAATTCCCCCACATGTGAGGTTTCAATTATCTACCTATAACCTTGGCCTTAACCAATATAAACTGTATTTTAAAAAGACCATTTCAAGTTCTCTACTTAAAAAAGGGAAAATCCATTTTATACATCACTTATATTTTATGTCACTGCTCTAGTCAGATATGTCTACTGAAATCTTACACATAAATAAATCTAGTACCTACACTTCTTTGGAGTTATTTATAGGATAAACAAACTCAAGTAAACTAATTTGGACTTACTATAACTACTGAACTGACTTCCAACACAGATTGGCAATACATAATAATGCAATCGATCACAGTTGTTTTCTCGCAATACTGACCCAAATGTTACCAAGGTAACACAGGCTTAACAAGATTTATTTACCTCTTGTTACAATTCTTATCACAGGCAAATTTTTACTAATTACTTTCAAAGCATACACCTTGCATCAGTCGATAATATGACACCCATTTCAACGAGTATAGCGAATGTAATGAAAATTACATAGAGTACAACTAAAACAGCACCAACACTTTTCCTAAGTTTGAATTTGCCGATGAATAATGTCAACCACAGGCAAGCCACAGCTACTAGTAGAGAGCCGACTACGAAATCTATACCAGCAGAATTTATTAATACTGCCTGCTGTTCTGCTCCCTGAGCTACTAAGGTCAAGGTCTTAATGAGCCATGGTACACCCAAAGCGAATAGAATGGCTAATGAGTTGGCACCCAAAGCGTTCGAAACTCCGATGCCTCCTTCGCCTGTAACAATACACCTAGCATTAATCAGAGTTACTCACGTCAATACACATTTGTAAAACAATGTATGTACGAGCTATGCAACCGGAACGTTTGGATCGGAATAGATCTGTATGGAAATAAATAGACACATCACAGCTTAATAAGTATTCGCATCACGCCAGACTATACTATCAAACGTAATCTACAAATCGTGAACGCCATAGTTAAATTTTCACACAAATTTGAACGAGCATCAGCAGTGAATGTTATATTATTTAACTGTATAATATATATTTGATTCAATCGCATATAATAATATTAAAATTCATGTGTGCTAGATCGTAATTAATCGCCTGCAAACACGTATTCTTTAATTATGCATCGAATCGTAATTATAAAAATTTACTTAGTTTCGCTGTGTTTTGATTAAGTTTACAATGGTAGCAATTCTGGTGTACAAACTGAACTAAAATTTTAATTTTGTTTAACTGCGCATACGCTGTAAATTAGTGAATTATATGTAGTTAACATAATACATCCTGTACTCTATATACTATATCCTTACTATGATTATATTTCTTTGTTCATACGTGTACGACTACATAATAACGTTTATAAGTAACCGAAATTCCAAATTCTTTTTATTTTAGTTTTTAGAATAACGTATCCTGCAATAGAATAGACTCCAATTTCTTTAGTATTATTTGGTGTTTGCAACAATAATCTGTCCCGTATGATAAATAACTGCAATATGGACATAATTAAAGAATTTCGCAAGAGCAACAGAAGCAAATAGATAAAACCACCAATAAATTACAAAGCACAGTGCTGTCTAGACATTCAATAAATGCGATAAGTATGTTTCTACTTTTGCTATAAAACCCACAAAAATTAACGTCATACTGATAATGATGAAGCGCTAGCAAGTCAGTTGCTCTTATGATAATGTTATTAGATACCATCTCTGACTCATTTTATAGCACTTTATCATATATATTAAATTACTAATTTTAAATGTGAATTACAAACCTCGTCGTGACAGAATAAAGATGGAGACAGCTTCAGGTAAACATCCACCAAACGCCAAAAATGTCATTCCCATAACAGAATCAGGAATGGTGAACGTGTGACCTAAAATTAACAGTTTATTTAATAATACCATTTATGTAAATATAAAACTCACATGTTGGCTCTAACAATTATTAATGTAAAATTGTATCTAAACTGTGTTCAACAATACTCTCATTCATTATTACTGTATGTGATTGACACTAAAAACCATATGTTTGTCTTTACAAAATATATTTGCTATTCTGTTTACTTTCGCGAAAATTTAATCGTGAGTCTAGAAGTTAGTAACAGAAGTTAGTTTCTATCAAAATAAAAAGACCTCAATTAAAACGTTACCAAAACCATAATTACATTGTCATAATAATGTGGGTCATAAAATTACCTTTTGACAGAATAGTTCTATCACCGTAATGTACTAGAACGTTAGATAATAGGGTTAGGTAAAATAAAAGGGTTAGATAATTTTTGTAAGTTACATGCCATTGAAATAATAATTGCATATTACATTAACATCAGCAACACAGTGTCAAGTTGTCCAATATCAGACATAAGGTGAATATTATCTACTTACCGATAACAGTCATACTCCACGACACGAAAAAAGAATTCACTCCGATCCATAAAATGCACATCATAAAGGAAAGTGGATAAAACTTTCTACAGGTAACCGGCGATGGAATCGTAACAGTCATGATGGCCTTCAACGGCCACGTGTATAGCCACCATAGCCGGTACATCAACGATTTCTCTCGGGGAAATCTGAATAAACTCTTTTTTGGCTTTTCAGGTCCATCATCTGAAAATATTGGCAACATTTTAATACGTATCATTTACATTCATACTAGTTCTATTACTATTTTTTAATTCCTTACCGTTAAGGACAATGGCAGATTTCTCTCCGATTCCATTTGACTCTGCGATAATATTGGTAGTTGATTCAGTAAAAGCCCTGTTATCAACACCTTCTTCAATGCTTTTATCGTTGGCCAACTCTGTGACTGCAAGTTGTTTTCATATTTAGTTTATCATTTATTTAATTATTATCTTATTAGAAACTTATTTATGAATATTAAGTTGTAGATTGAAAATACAAAATATAAGAAAAAACTAATCATATAAAAAATATATAGAAAATCACCTTGTAAATGATTCTTCTTTCTACAGCAAGAGGTTATAAGCTTATCGAATAGGTTGAACAGCCTTACACTGTTGAACATGAATACAAAGTAAAGAATGTACATGACACCAAGTACAGTAGCCTCCTGCCAGTCCACCTGACCATCCCATACGATGACCACTAAAATGCTGACGTTTACCATGTAAATAAGTACATCCCTGGTAACAGGCCCTGCTTCGATGGAGATAGCCTGTAAACAACAAGATTTTTTTCTTATAGTAGTTATATTGTAAATTTGAATGTAAAATGACCCTTGAGACCTGGAATCTTAGCAATGATGAATTTGTAATATTTGTTTGACAACCTAGAAGTCATTTTATGATATAACAATTTCGAGAGACTCGAGAAGCGGGAGACGACACCGAGAGTGAGATATCGTATGGTCATATTTAACTCTCGACTCGTTTCTAAAATCACTCGTTTTAAATTCAAGCGTTTCACGAGTCCCTTGTGTTCGTCATGCCATGCAGACAGGGTATGCCACATACCCTCTAACTAGAACGAACCCAAGGGATTTGCAATCCTACTTGGTCTACAAATTTATTGGATTGTTAATCTTTAAAACAAAGCAGAAATATGGGATCTGCTGACTGTCCCGATCTACTTTCTAAATTAAACTTTAATATTCCATGTCATTTACCGAGATCTGGCAGTAGCAAACTTTTCCATCCACCTAAGAGTCGTACAAATCTAAAGTTGCACTGTCCTTTATCGCGAGCAACTGCATTTTATAAGGAATACCAAAATAATATCGACCTTGTTTTGACTTCCATACCTGCTATTAAGAAACTATTCATACACTAGAATTGTAACGTGTATTATATATTTCTTTTATTATTTTTATTTTTAAATTAAAACTATAGCCAGTATAAACGCGTTCTCATATATGGACGTTTCGGTCGCTCGGCTGTGACGCGCGTGCTTGTCTCTCATAGTGCTGCTGTGGCTCGCCTGGAGCGCCTATGTGTGGGAGAAGTGTGTAATGATCTAACAATGCAAGCGGTGCCCTCCTATAAGTAATGGGACACTTAGTATATAACCTTGTCATTATGTAATTTCTAGTGTAGTTTTAGTGTACTCATTGTTGTGAGAGCCTGATAAATAAATATGAATGAGTACATAGAAAAATAAAGAACATCCTCTAATATAGTACAGTTAATTATATTGAACTGTTGCTGAGTTTATCTATAGATAACATCGCAAATTGAAGACGAAATCGCGTTATCTTAGAAGTTGAAGGTTGACATAATTTAGCGAAAAATATATATTAATTATATATATTAATTATAATTTGAGGAGATTATGAGATTACAAATCATAAAAATCTATCGTTATCATTTAATTTGAACCAGGATATAAAACTAATAATATAAATAACACTGCCCTCGAAGGCACTTACTCCTGATATACAAGACAACCTACCAACCAAAGAATATATAATGGAATTAATTTAACTTTTGAAAATTTTGATAGTAAAATTCACTCCAGGCAGGACGTTACACAATACGTAAACAGTACTATTTATTATTAACTTATAATTAAATGTACATATAAACAGACAGAATAATAAATATAAAATCAAAACTATATATAAAATATTACTATAAAATTTTAAGGAAATTAATACGATTTCAAAGTAAATTTTTCCTTATTAACCTTAGAATGAACTTTACTCCATAATTTATCTTAGCAATATTTTTTAAAGTAATTCCCCGTAGCTATTACTTGTCTTAAAGAAAAATACATATATTTGATAGCCTCCGGTGCCCAAATAGAGATTCCAACCTATAAACTTTTACAAACTGAGCGACTGCTCTCACTAAATTGTATAACCAGATATTATATTTTTTTTTCTCAAGCCCTTAATTACTTTCATTGTCACTGTTAACTAATTTCTATAATATACAAATATCATTTACGTTTGTCTTGAGGTAATGACTTGTTGACTGGACTTTAAGGGCCGTCCTTCAATTAAGTGACGTATTTTTCAGCATTATTTAACCTCCCCTCCCCCTTGTGATACACGGTGAGGTTTAAGACCTACCCCCCAAAATGACGTGTATTTTTAGTACCTACAAAAAATCATAATTTATGACACCGACAAATAGAAAATATTTAGTAGCCTCACGTTTGAGAAAAAATTAAATACACGTGACATATTACTAAATATGTATCGATAAAACATTTAACCTAATATTGTGCTGACAAATTGTAATAATAATCTTAAAAGTTGTATACGCGGCTTTATAGGTAAAACCCCAGTTAATAGTGTCAATTATGTTTGTACCATATTTTAATGTGAACTAAAAAAAATATATATTTTAATTTTTATGACATTATTCCATAGTACGTTATGTATTACGTTATTTGCAAGATTTAAACCTCTCGTATTAGAGTTCTGATGACGTATGTATTGAAATTAAGTTTTTAATGGAGAAGAGTATTTTATAATACCATAAAACGGAGCAAAAGCCTTATTATTACTACGAAAAATATTGAATCAGTGGAATTGGTTTTCAGATATTTTAAAACGATGACTTAAAAACGGATGTGTAACGTTTACATATGAAAGATGCGCAAACTTTGTGACGTATTGGCTTTCTTTTTCTTTAAAATTGTTTTGTACTGAAAAAAGGTTTGTTTTTATTTAATATTTTTTTAAATACTGAGTTATCATTATCAGTAAAAAGAAAAATCCCAAATATATAAAATGATTGTTGTTTGTACATTGTTTCGAGTTCGGATGTCCATCCTTCATTATTACAGATTTCCATAAAGCAAAGCTACTTGATTTGGGATCTGCAGAGCGATCGCCGAACTCCTCTAGCTATAAGAAATGTTCTACTTGGATCATAGACACTATAGAACACCTTCGTTTCATTTTATTACTTTGACTCTGACTTTACTACGTACTACTTTATAATGAAAAACGAATGATAAATATGAAGTTGACAGCAGTGTTTCTAACTTATTCATTTATCCCAAATCCATCCACCAAAAGACATACAAGTAGTAGCATGACACAATATATCGTCATAATATTTGCTAAAATATCGTATCTTATGGCTAGAGAGTTGGCAGTGCCACTCCTGATCATTGTTTAATATTTATAATTATTATTCTTTACCTTAACAGCAGCTAGTCCTCCTATAGCAGCCACACCGAGACAATTAAAAATAGCCGAACCAACTATTGTTCCTATTCCCATATCACCCTGCGTCAGAAATGTTGAAAAAACATTCACGAAAAATTCTGGACATGATGTCGCCACAGACATAAACGTTGCGGCTGCTACATTCTGTAAAATGAATTATTAGCATTTGTTAAAAGTAGCAACTGTACCTAATTCTAATTACAAACAATAAGTCTATGCGCACTGGTGACATTTTGTCACCGTGCCTGAGAATCCCTGTAATGGCACGCACACAGTGACCTAATTGTCTAATTTCATAATCTATTGCAATCACTTTCAAAGACATAGAAATTGTAATGTAATGATTTTGAATTATACATCGTTTAAAGTGTGATTTTCCCTTCCCTTCCCCTTTAGGAAGAACGATAATTTGAAACTTCAAGAATCGTAATAAAAACTAACCGATCTAGATCTCTAACACATTTTTTTTAGTTATGGCCTTGTTCCGTTGTAGTGTGAAGTTGATGTCAAATTGTCTACTTGAAAGGGATTGATATTTATTTTAAAATTAGACAATTAGATCCAAATACACGTGACAGTTAAGTGACTTTCATATAAAATGACAGGAGCCGGTGACGGAAACAATACCTAAGTCAAAATGCCAAAAATCTCCAGCCCGCGCCTAGTCTAATAAATCACAAAGATGTTCGCATATCGGACAAAGTTAAAGGAGGCGGACTCCATGAGCATTGCAAATTAATGACAGGAGACGTTAGAATTCTAACGATTCGGTGCATATATGTCGTATATTATCAAAGGCAGAGATCTAACAATGTCAGCCGAAACGACTTTCCAAAATGGTTAGAAATTCGCTTTTGGTTTTATACGACTCTGTATGCGATGGTTCATAAGTTAGTATACAAATATTATTAAAAATTATTTCCTTCGCCTCTTTCACATGTTCCTTTCTAATGCCAGAAAATTAAGTAACTGGACGTCGACCACAGAGCCGTCACAGCATAGAGGTGCAATTAAATAAAACGGGCCTTAAATGGAATAGAAGAAGAAGAAGATTGTTGCTTTGAACCTTTATAATGTGACAGCGTTGTGCTCAGTTGAACTCGTAGTTGATTCGAAGATGATTTTATTGAAGAATAGAATAGAATAGAATAGCAAAGCTAATTTGACCTGTACATATCTATTTATGAAACTACTTTTATAGTTTAAAAGTACTTTAAATTAAATTTATTTTAATATTTAAGATTATCATCGAATAGGTATTACCAAGACAATTATCTGGTATTTAACAGAGCAAATTCTCAAATTAATTATATTGAATTATTTTATAAATTACGTAAATTTGAATGAAGGATAATATAATTTTATCGCGATTAATTATACATATCACAAAAGGAGATAAAATAACTTGATACATGACAAGCACATAGGTAGGTATTGAAATCATTTATTGATAATAAAGAAATTTGATAACATAATTATAATTGTTTTATGTTTTAATAGAATATTTCCTAAAAATAAATACAATATTTGGTAAACATAGTTTTCTATTGATCGATATATCAGCCTTACAATAAAAGACTACAAGACTAGTAAAGTTTATAAAAACCTGTAAAAGCGACCCATAAATTCGAGTCTTGAGATGTTTGATATTATTCAATAAATGATATAACAAATAAATGCTTTCAATAAGAACTAAAAACAAACACTTTGACTGACGTACCTGTGGTATTTTCAAGTCCTCGCATATCAATTCCACGCAAGGAAGAAAATAGTCGTTACAAACTATTGCCAGTAGCGTAAAAGCGTATATTCCGAACATCAAGTAACACAAGAAGGCGCCTTGGCGTAATTGTTCGTCTGAAATCAACGATAAAAGTTTATTTCTAGCTTCTTCTTTTTCTATTATTAATGGCTTATCTACCAATGTCAAGTGAAAAAATTCATTTCTACATGTAAAATGAAAATAAAATAAATGAAAGATGGCGATAATTTCTTTTCGTCTTCTTCACAATGATGATCTATAAGCCTCTTAGTTTAAGACATATTTGTAAAAAAATAATCATAACACAGTTATTCGTCTCTGTCGTTCTCTGTTTCGCTTCCCCTAAACTACGCTACATATTTAGGCATTAGGAAATATCTACATAAGAACATTACTCATTTTATTGCAAATGTATTTTAAAGTTGAATCTAGTTTTGTTCCTTGTTTGTAATGGATTCTCTTCTAAATATAAAGAAGTGTCCCATTCTAAAGTTTGACTTTTCATTATTCAGTGCATGACCGGACAATAATAATTGAGCGAGACATTAAGTAATTTTTAGTTTATTGCCAAACAATATTACAAAATAACTAGCTTGTGGTAAAATGCCACGTTCACACAAAACGATCTATATTGAATAGGCGATCCGACGATTGACGGGCCAGTAGGGCGTTATGTAAACGTTAGCGTAATTATGGAAAGTCAATAGAGCTTCAACCCTTTATGACACAGTGCTTGTTACTAGATAAAAAAAATATGTCTGTCACAATTGATTTGTGAAGAAGACATTTCACTAATAATATTGGACTTCAGGTAGAAAGTACAATGACAAAATACAAGTAGTTGAGACTCTATCGATATATTATTATTATATAAAAATAGCAGAATTGAGGCTCAGGATATACGACAACGCTTTTGATGTGGATGTAGTCCACTGGTGATTTTTTTGTTTCTGTCACCGTGCTAAAGAAGTCTTGGCGCGTGATCACGTGACAATTTTGGGGACAGTATCAATACGTAAAAATGACAAAGAACCACCAGTACACCAGCATGCACGGTTTGATAGTATACCGATAGATGAAGGTCAGTCATAGCCTTTATGTATATCGCAGAATGGAACCGATGCTTTTATGAATCTGACAGCAATTGTCACGATAAAGTCATATTTTACGTCATAGGGTTATATTAGATAAACTAGATGAATATTCGTCGTCGTCTATTGGCACAAGTATATCGTTGTAATAAAAAATAAGTGTATTAAACTCATTTCCAGTGGTTTGTGGTTCATTAATAGTGTGGAGCGGTGTTTTGGTACAAAATTTGAAATCGTGACTGGGAGTACCTCGTTGCAGTTATTAATAAATTTTAATGTAAAAAGGTCTAATAAATTTTTCGTAACGTAAAAAGGTCTAATATTTTATATAAATTTTCCTTTTGGGACCAGTTTTTCTAGAGATAAGTTGCCTAAACAAAAATATGAAATATAATAATTGTTTCGTTAAAAAAATATACGTATGATAAATTACTACTACTTAAACTAAATAAAAATAATAAATATGAAAATACGGGTTACTGTCTTACTTTACATGAAGATGCTCTGTAGATATTTTATTTCTTTTTAATCACCTCCTTAAAATAAGCTAATTAATGCAGTACAACCACCTGATTTATCGCACTTACTTTCATTTCTTTTAGAATATAAAACTTATTTAAATAAATTACTTTATAGGCATTCGAAACGTATATCTTAAGTAACACTTTCTAGATGAAACGTTAGAATGTTTTCTTCCGCTTTTACGGTTATAAAAAGCTTTTACGACTCACCCGTGAATATGCTATCAGGAAAGCTTTCAACCGATGCTTCTGTAGGGCAATCCACTTTTTGCAGGACTCCATCTTGTTCTTGCGTTAGAGTTCGCAGCCATGGCTTCCAATGCCACGTAGCCAACTCTTCGTCCAATCTCTTCATGAGATCCTCTTCTATAAGCACAGTGTCGCCGTGCCTGTTAAAGATTTCCCGGAACTTCGACGCATCAGTAACATCTGGTGACAAATAATTTTATCAAAGTCACGGTCTCTCACGGCGAATCGATCCGCATTAATACGGTTATATATCAAACATCGTACATGATAACGTAAGTACAATCACTGTTTATACATTTCAAACTATCCAGATTATAGATTGGGAAACGGGAGGCCACAATAAAACGATGTCAACAAACAAAGTCTCATTTACCAATCTATCACAATAATTATGGTTGTTTATTAATACTAATCAATATTATCTAACATATCTAACGTTGTTGCTGGTGAATACACGACTGATAAGCTTCGAGATGGTTAGGTTATATTAGTATTACTGCAAGAAAAACCATGAATTAATCTTATAACTTTTCCTTGTTTTCCACTTACACTTAAATCATGGGTTTTTCGGTCGTGTAAGTTATAACATTACATGAGACAACTAAAAGATATTGAAAGTATCTAGACAAATAAATAAAATTATTATTATTTCGGTCAGCAAAAATATAAACATGAGACAAACAAAACCACGTCATTTTCATCTAATAAGAATTATTATATTCATCATTATGAATACAACACACAATCCATAATCCTAAACATAAAACTAAATTATGTATTATTTTGACAGTCACAATTCTATTTTGATAAATATGTTTACTAGAAAAGAAAAATGCTAAAAAAATACCAATCCCATGTTCCCCAAAGTAATTAAGCGTTGTGCATACAAAAGTGATCAAATAAAATAATTAAATAAATAGAATATAAAATATTTATTTAGGTTGTTTGTTTGATTGCCTGACCATCGATGAAAATACTCAAACTACTAGCGAAAGTAACAAGTTCTTGGGAAAGTAGTACTTTGGGTATCGGGTAGCTTAATGGTTAAAGGTTAAAATAGTCGCCCGGATTCCGAAACGGATTTGAATCCAAACCCAGGGTATCTGAAGCTGGCGATTTTTTTAAATTTATTTATAATTTTTAACAGTAAGTACGTTTAAATATGATAATTAAATTAATTATCTGTAATTTACGCTATAAAAACAGATGAATATATTTCAGATTCCTTTTACACAAAAATAAAATCAACGCCATCTATTGGCGATTAACAAAAATATAAATAAACAATTTAAACCATGAAAAATACTTACTGTGATGCTCTAAAGCCGTAACACAAGTGGTGACCAATATAATCGACGTGATAACAGCAACAATATGTGTGGTTCGGTCCATCTTTTTTCCGGGTTCGTACAGTGCCACCGCAGATACCTACCTGAAATAACAGTTTCCTCATTAAAGTTTATTTATTTATATGTTGATATTACTCACAATATAAGGTCGCGGATAAGGATGTCAAGATTTGACAAGAGACGGTGCTCAAAAGACCAACTAACTCTAACTGCAGTGTACCATAATTAAACTAAAAATACGCATAGGAATCGAATTTATGATTATAAATTGAAAAAAAAATAGAATAAAAAAGTGATTTTATTTGTGCGCACTCAAACGTATATAATCAAATTCTAAACATTTTAAAGTAAATTTTGATTAAAAGCTAAACTTTTTCTCACACAGTAATGTGTTTGTTTTTTTATTACACTTTAATTTTAACTTTTAAGTTTTGTCTCATTCTATCCATTTCTGACATAGCATCTGTATTGCAAGATGTTTCTCTCAAAATATTGTTGTTCTCATAAAGGCGGATCTAAAAAGCACTTACACGATGCAGTTTTACTATTTAATTACCAAGTTCCTATAATAATAAACTTTATTTCAGAGATATGACTCCATATTAAATGTTACTAACAATAGAACTATAATTTAGCATTAGTAAATAAAGCTAGTATGCAACTACATCCAGCATATCAATATGGGACTGCCCCATCCATTTGCAACTAACTTCAGAATGCTGTTCAGTCTATGCGTATCCCATGCTTCCGATTTCATCATCATATCAGCTTATTGACACCTTTATATTGCATTGTCATCTGACTTACATGTCTATGCAAAATTTCAAATCTATCTAACATTGGGAAATGGATCAAATTTGAGTTCTAATATTTGCGCACACAAGGAAATAAAAGCTTGTCATAAAAATCGTTTTCAATTACAATTTATTTAGAATGTCTTAGTTACAATCAATTTCATATTACTGATTTGATTTCACCATCATAGCGCTAATCTTTACCGACATAACTTGATAAGATATTAATATTATAATAATTTGTTTTAACGCGTAATAATCTGATTGTGCTATTACTTATATCTATAGTTTTCACACTGATATTGAAAACATTTACTCTAATTACTTCCATATTCTCATGATTATCATACAAACCACTCGAAATATGTGTTATACCAAAATATTTTCAAGAAAGTATTTCTATTTTCCTGGTAGTTTAAATGTTAGCTACCGCAGTAAAGAACAAACTACATATTGATAATTTAAAACAAAATAGTATTTTAAAATAATATTAGCTGTATAGGCAAAAGACGAATCAGAAATATCTGTAATTTGTATACTTTAAAAACGATTGATTTAACCCCCAACTAACATAGTGCTTTTTTGTTACTCAACTGACATCGCGGGGTAAAATTCTACGACAATTAAAAATTTAAGAAAAAGTATGTTATTGTTAGAAATAACTTTAGATTATGATTTTATATTTAAGACAGCATATTACAAATCTGTTAATAAAGAAAAAAACAAGATTTATTTAAGAAAATATACTTATTTTATAAATTTGGAAAAGATGTAACATTTTTGGTCTTTTCACATTTGCTTCTGTATCAGTCATAGACAAAATACTTAATATTAATAGTTGGAACAAATTAGCTTCGCTTATTCAAATATCTTTGATTTGGTTTATACTAGAATAATCACTAAAATTAACAAAATAATTCTTGTAACAAAAAAAAACAAAAACGAAAATCAACTACGAAAAATGTGATTTTTGTGCTTAGACAAACAAAAAAAAAACATAAAATTTAGTTATTATTCTTTTCCTTCACATAAAAAACATAAAATTTTATCAATTGAATGTTTCTTGAATTGAATTTTTCACACTTATGGCACTTATTTACGGTCATCTTTTCGAGTACAAAGAAAGCATCGAACAGATTTTGCTCTCTTTGAAGCAGGTTCGTCTTCTGTGTATGATGATGAAGGAATTGGCCCCAAAAACAATCCATTTTTTCAATAAGATCCTTTGATAGGTTTGCTGTAAGCAGTTTTCTTTTTTGGACTTGTGGTTTTATAAGCGACAGACCGAGTTCTTTTATAAATTGGCGTCTTCTTATTTTTTCATTAGGGTTGCTTGCACTCCAAATGACATAACTGTTCACAGTTGAAATATTCGTCACGGTTCCAAATATTACCATTGGCCAACGTCTTGTTCGTCTCATAACTGAAAAGTTAGCACATTTTTGGTTCAATGCGTCGACGCCACCTTTCGTTAAATTGTAAAATTCTACAATTTCATGCTTTTCATTAGCGCCAGTCCCGCTTTCATGATGCACGGATGATATAAGGACAACTGATCGGTTTTTTCGGAACGTAGGATACTATAGTTTTATCTGAGGTAAAGCCGTAAATCACAGAATTTTCAAGTCTTTTCTTATTTGGCAAAAACTCAAAGTGTCAACATAAGTAAGTTCCTTAGCCTTCAATTGATCGACTAGTTCCATACTGGAAAACCAGTTATCAGCAGTAATGTTTCTGTTGAAATTGAAAAACGGCTCCGCTAATTTCAACACGCTTTGAGTTGGAACAGACAAATCAGGATTTCTGCGCTCAATTGATTTTCCAGCGTAAATGAATGCATTATAAAGATAATGGGTTTTTGAATCGCACAAGCACATAATCTTCAGCCCATATTTAGCTGGTTTAGACTTCAAATAAACGCGGCAAAAGCATTTTCCCCTAAATGGTGCAAGCATTTCGTCTATTGTCACAAATTCAGAACAAGAATAATTAACTTTGATATTACAAACAAATTGATCAAAAAACTCAGAAATGGGTGCCAAGCGATCTGAAGCCTTCCGTTGTTCTCGAGTTTCAGCATTATCAAATCTTAGACAAAGAAGTATAAACAAGAATCTATTCTTAGTCATTTGTAATACGGAAGATATGTCTGCCTGTTCCATCAGTGCTCCAAAGAGATTTGAAGATAGCTGACAATAACTTCAAACCAAGGAAGGATTTCAACGAAATAGATGATATTTCTCGTGTGTAGGTTTGATTTACGAACCATGGTGTTTTACTTCTCATATCATTTATCTTTGTATTTGTATGGTTTACAATCATGTCAATAATGTCTTTGGAAAAAAGTAGTTCCCATCACTCTTGTAGGCTTAATTTATTTTTTGCAACAGCTGGTCCTTTGATTCCTGACCGCTGACTTATAATATTATGAGCTCGAGTTCTGGACACAGGTGGAGGAGATTTTGACCATTTGAACCCATTCTTTCCGGTATAATATGCAATTCGTGAAAGTGGTATGTCATCATCTGAACTCCCATCACGGGAATCTTCATTATCCAGCTCCATTTCAGAGTCGGTTTCATATTTACTGTGTTCTGATGCCGCGTCTTCATAATCACTCTCAAAATAGGACATGGAATCTTCTAGACCCGGTTGTTCATCACGGTCTTCGTTTTCTAGGATGTTTTCAACTTGTTCGTCGATAAGATAGTTACTCATATTGCTTTTATTCTGAAAAATAGATCTGATAAAATAGTATTTGACTATATTAAAAAAAACAACATACGTATCTAACATAGTGGGTTGTAAACTTACCCCTAGGTCTGTACAGCTCAAACGGATGATTAATCACGCGCGACGCGTCTACTAACCTCTAGCGCGTGCGCTGCACTAAGAATACTTAGACGGAAAAAATCTACCTGCGATGGGAAAAAGAAATATTTGTTTTTATGCGACTGGGGTGATAATTTACCCCACGATGTCAGTTAAGGGTTAATGACGTTTTATTTTAAAACTCTATAGAAATCTGTTGACTACATTCATAGATACATACATTCTAACTAGATTATTCAGTAGAAAGCTTAAACAATTTTTTTTTATTTCTATAATATTCAATTCTATAAATAATATAACAATATTATACAATACGGTGTAGCAACTATAGTGATAGACGGTAGAAATATAAAATTACCAACAATATAATGAACACGAGGAAAGTAATAACTATGTTACAATTATAAATAATGTACACAATCGTGACTACAACAACTACTTGTTTATTTTGTATGTTTTCCTTTAGAGATCAAAAGTCATTCTTGTCTACGGCTAAGTCCAAATACGCACGTTGAGATTTACGTATGAGGTCATTAGAAATACCTTTGGATTCGCACATGGTCACGTGATATAACAGCGTACTTCCGATCTGCAGTCTTAACGGAAAAGAATACGCAACGTTGCTATAATATATTTAGAGAACCGTTTAAGGAAATCATAAACAATATTTATTCGTATTTATTTAACATCATTATCCTCATCGATAAATTAATAATGTACAGTCGATAGCATATCAAGTTATTACAAAAGGCCAAAAATTACTTCAAATGTTCTAAGTAGATTATTAAATATTATAGAAATGACTTAAATAATATGGTACATATTTTACTATATTTAAGCTACAGAACACGAATAATTAATGAATTTTCACACCTCCTACTTGACAAAGTCCAATAATTGTGCTTTGGAATTTGGATATATATAAAAGTCAAACCCGACATCATATATATAAACGCATAGTCGAAACTACTGTATGTAGAAACTTGAATTTTGGTAAAGGGATTCTTTTCATGTCGTAAATATGCACAAAGAATTTATTTTTAGAAATTTTATCCCTAAAAAGGTGAAATAGGGCATGAATTTTATATGGACCACGCTAGCGAAGCCGCTATCGGAATGCTAGTGTTATGTACCTACGTCCACTGGATTGAAATGTTTTGAATTTGGAACATTATTATTTGTATGAAGATTCTACAGGCCTTGCAAAAAGTTTTTATTCATAAATCAAACATTTAAGACTTGATCATAAACAGAACCACAGATATAATACTAAGCTGTTTGCCATTGCCCTTGTAAAGAATAATAAATAATAATTTCAAGTAATCTTAAAAATACTTTAAAAAATATCATCTTCGTTTGTTAATTGCCTGTCATGTAGTTTGTACTTGAGTGAAATACCACTCAACACGGATTAACG